TAGTGTGAGTGTAGTGTGGTATGTGTAGTGTAGTGTGGTGTAGTGTGGTGTAGTGTAGTAGTAGTGTGGTAGTGTGGTGTAGTGTGGTGAAGTGGTGTGGTGTAGTGTAGTGTAGTGTAGTAGTGTAGTGTAGTGTAGTGTAGTAGTAGTGTAGTGGTAGTAGTGGTAGTGTGTGTGTAGTAGTGTAGTGTAGTAGTGGTATGGTATGGTGTGGTGTGGTGTGGTGTGGTGTGGTGTGTAGTGGTAGTAGTGTATGTGGTAGTAGTGTATGGTGTAGTGTGGTGTGGTGTAGTGTGTGGTGTGGTGTGGTAGTGGTGTGGTGTAGTGTGGTGTAGTAGTAGTAGTGTAGTGTGTGGTGTGGTGTAGTGGTGGTGTGGTGTGGTGTGTGGTGTGTGGTAGTGTGGTGTGTAGTAGTGTGGTGTAGTGTAGTGTGTAGTGGTGTGGTGTAGTGTGGTGTAGTGTGGTAGTGTGGTGTGGTGGTGTGTGGTGTGGTGTGGTGTGGTGTGGTGTGGTGGTGTGGTATGGTGTGGTGTAGTGTGGTGTAGTGTAGTGTGGTGTAGTGTGGTGTGGTGGTGTAGTGTGGTGGTGGTGTGTGGTAGTGTAGTGGTATGGTGTGGTGTAGTATGGTGTGGTGTGGTGTGGTGGTGGTGTAGTGTAGTATGGTGTAGTGTAGTGTGAGTGTGGTGTGGTGTGGTGTGGTAGTGTGGTGTGGTAGTGAGTAGTAGTGTAGTGTGGTGTGGTGTGGTGTGGTGTGGTATGAGTGTGTGTAGTGTAGTGTGGTAGTGTAGTGTAGTGTGGTGTGGTGTATGGTGTGTAGTATGTATGGTGTATGGTGTGTAGTGTGGTGTAGTATGGTGTGGTGAGTAGTGTGTAGTGTAGTGTGGTGTGGTGTGGTAGTGGTAGTGTAGTGTGGTGTATGGTGTGGTAGTGGTGTAGTGTGGTGTGGTGGTGGTGTAGTGTGGTGTGGTGTAGTGTAGTGTGTGGTGTGGTGTGGTGTAGTATAGTGTAGTGTGGTGTGTGGTGGTGTGGTGTGGTGGTAGTATGGTGTGGTGTGTGGTAGTGTAGTAGTGTGGTAGTAGTGTAGTATGGTATGGTGTGTGGTATGGTGGTGTGTGTGTGGTGGTGTGGTAGTGGTGTAGTGTAGGTGTGGTGTAGTGATGGTGGTGGTGTGGTGTGGTGTGGTGTGGTAGTGGTGTGGTGTGGTGTGGTGGTGTAGTGGTGTGGTGTGGTGTGGTGTGGTGATGGTGGTGGTGTGGTGGTGGTGGTGGTGGTGGTGTAGTGTGTGACCTATATATTCCACGTGTTGTCAATCACAAGGAAGGCTTATTTCTCATGTGTCCTCAAATCAAGCCTGTCATAGAAACATGTTCCCCACGCCAGACCCTCCTATTAGAAACATTACAACTTCCCTCTCACGTAGTTGTTGTAAACATGTTCATTTGTTTATCTGTTTCATGTCAGATGCTTCAGATTATTCCCTGCTATTTCACCCATATCAGATTTACATTACACACGTACATTATACTAATGCGTCACTGTATTTATAATCAGAATTGAAATGAGGTACACATGCACATACATGAAATTATAAGGCGCTCTACAGAAAAACATAGAGACATCATTGATGACGTCATATTTTATTACTTTTGGGTACGATTACCCTGCAACGATCGTTTTACGACCGGTGAGTCATTCCTTTGATCGCAATTTGCGGTTAAACAAAAAAATCATTTGCGACTGATAATAGAAATTTCACCAGTTTTATTGCGACCTGATTATGAGACGGCTCTCATTTTTCTCATAGATCTCAATCGGGTCTCAATAGATTCGCTTCTTGTTTACGAGTCTATATGCGAGTGCACTACAACCAAGTTGCGACCCCCATGCAACCATCAGAGATTGACTTGCTACCGCATTGAGAGTGCCTGTGGTGATCGTTGTGACCATCGTTGCGAGTGTATTCGATCGAGTTGCAACTCAACCAGGTTTAGTAGGAGCAATACTTAGCGACTGAAAAACTCTTAAAACTTTGCGATCATTGATGCAACCGAATAGGGAGTCTGTTACGATCAATGAGACCGAATTGAGAGTGCATTGAGACCTATGCGATCTCATTGCGACCACATTTGAGACCTCTTGCGACTGTCATCGGTAGCACATCTTTTGCGAGAGTAATTGCAACCAAAGAGACCATGTTTGAGACCATGGAGACCGCGTTGAGACTAATTTGCGACCGTATTGCGAGTCTTAGCGAGTGATGGCGAGCAGAGGCCAATTTTCGGCCGTAACTGGGTTGCAGGCCCAGTGTTAGACTAACAACTAGTCTCTGAAATGAACATATTTTACTGAAAAAAGTTCATAGTAAAAAAAATATAAAATATAATGAAAAGGAGCCCTGAGACTTTCTTCACCTGAGGAAATCTAGACTTGCCACATTTTCTAGACTTGTGTGGGCTTTCTTGGATATATTTGCTTCAGGGTCTGTACGAGAGACTAGCCCAGTGTAACCGGGTTGTTGATTACTGTTCCAAGAAGGCAATACACCAAACTGAAATGATTGTCCCCATGCGAGGGTCTGTAAGTTCCACATCAGTTAAAGTATTTATATGAATGCCAGGGTTTTAAATTAAAAGCAGTATGTTTATATTCAAATTCTCGTCATATTGCTGAGTGCGGCGTAAAACTTAACTCACTCACCCAAATTCTCGTCCCGATATGGCTGAAATATTGCCGATGTGACGTTAAATTTCAACTCACTCACTCACTTAATACACCAAACCCCTTTAACAGCGGGCTGTCAAATAACTGTTATACTGCTGAAATCCTTATTCATACACTGTAATGATAAAATGGGTGAGTTGGGTTCTATCGGTATTCCATTTCAATAAAGGCGTGGATAATTATGATACCAGCTTAGAATGACAATATGATAACTTGGATATGTTGATACTGTATGACAGACATGTCACATGATGCATGGTGGTAACAGGTTTCACCTAGGTGTTAACATCTTGTAATTCACCACGACACTCTTCACGAATATGGATGAGCACGAAACATAAGTCAACCGTACATACATGTATGAATGGAAGGTGAACAGGTCGTGATCCAAGTGGGATTTTACGTTTAATTTACATTCAACGAAGAAAACAGTGAAAAGTGTTTTGAGTTTTAATATATAGTTGCTTGATCAGGTTTCACAAGTTGTACATACATGTTTACAACTGGCCATACTGCTTATAGAAACCAGGGACAACGATTAAATCTTTCGTGACATTCATTTCTTTGACACGTCATTAACACATCACTTCACATTAAATAGCCTCACTAAACCACATTATGCCAGCTAAACAGCCCCACGCTCTAACAACGATTTGCAGTGATATTAATGTCATAAATATTATTACGTCGTTATTAAATGCATCCTCAGAAGGCAGTTTGGGTTGCATTTACCTAACTGAAATTATCATCATCATCATCATACATATAGGATTAGTACTACAGAGAAAATATTCATCTACCTCTCCCTCTCTCCCTGCCTCCCTCTCTCTCTCCCTCCCTCTCTCTGCCCCCCCCCCTCTCTCTCTCTCTCTCTCTCTCTCTCTCTCTCTCTCTCTGTGCCTTATTTCAAGTGAAAAGAAAAAGGTTCAAGATACACCAATAACTGAAGTCCACTGTCGACACTGTGATGCTCGGGGACTAGCAACATGTAAACCAATATACGAGATGAATACTTCTCACAGCTACAAAATGCCTATAATGGACAACTAACTATTCCTGCTATTTTTAAGTCTACAAACTAACCTTTGTATACAGGTATTGAACACTGTTGATTTATTTAAATGAATTGCAAGCTGTATTATAGGCCTCTAGGAGTACATTACGAATAAAATGTCTGTCTGTCAAGCATGACCACTAATAGTCTACTCAAAGTTTATATAGGAGTGCTATTATACTTGAATACAACGCTTTGTTAAGAGATTTCAAGACGCATAAGTCTTGTGGTAACAGGTGGTAACATGGCGCATGTCATTCCGACACTGATGCGGCGGGGAAGAATAAAACTACTTCCTGGTTCCTTCTCCATGTTTAATAGGTCAGGCTACGGGTGTAGTTGACACGGAATGTGGGATGAACCGGATCTAGCAGAAGACCATCATCAGGCTTATTGATGTTTTGAAATCTTTGAAGCACTGAAACAAAGACGTTTGTATTCCAGGATCGTCATAGGCCGAGTGCGATATTTAATGAGAATAAGACATCAATTTATGCTTATTTCTATCTGCATGAACCATTAACACATACTTTTGCTGTTTGATTGGCTGATAATAGAATGGTTTGTTTTGCATTTTTGCATTATTGCGTTGCGCGGTCTTTGTCCTAAGTTATTAATATGTTAAGATTAATTTACAGGTAAGAATGCTGTTATACGCTGCTGCCCAGCTAGGTTGAATATGTTAGGCTATATCGGTGTGGTTTGCACATATAGCACCAATTGCAAGGTAAACGAACGACTGACATTCAGAGGAACGTCGACAGTACTGAGTGGTGCTGTTGGTCTCTGAGGTGTGTTGGTATCTTCACGGACCTATGTAACAGAATACAAAATGATACACAAGGTGGGGTTATGTAAATACATGAAACAGCGATCCTTCCTACCAGTGGAGCAATATATACAAGTATGTTTATACACAGGTACATAATCTGTTACAGAGTAAATACCTTTGTTAAGTTATACTCCGTTCGATGTATTTTCTTAACGTTCTGATGGCAGTCGCGGTGGCTGAGCGAATTAGGCGGCTGACTGTGTGTGCTGGCGATTAGGTGCCTGACTCTGAGGGTGTGGGTTCAAATCCCGCATGGGACTCAACCGAACAAAAGTACTAGAATCTGTACTTTACTAAGAAAGTGTAATCCCAAATATAACATATGTTACGTTCTGATAAACCATGTGATTTTGTTGTGGCGGCGGAAACACAAGGTCATCTGTCTGATTTCAGTTTGCTAACCGCTACAATGGCAAGAACGACCTTGACCCGAGTATGCAAGGGTCATTCAGCGAAGACACGTCAGAATCACCAGCATGTTCCAAACCTCGTGCTGTCTACATCACAATCTTCATCTTGGTCCTCCTGGTCCTCGCGGGAATAGCCGCTGCCATCGCCACCGCCGTCCTCGTGACCAATGGTAACTCAGGCTTTTCATTATCAAAACGTTGTTACCCGTGAAGGTCCGGATTAGAATGAACCTTCAGTAACCCATGCTTGTCCTGAGAGGCGACTAACGGGATCGGGTGGTCAGGCTCGCTGGCTTGGTTGACGCATGTCATCGGTTCCCAATTGCGCAGATCGATGCTCGTGCTGTTGATCACTGGATTGTCTGGTCCACACACGATTAGTTACAGACCGCCGCCATAAAGCAGGAATATTGCTGAGTGTAGCGTTAAACTTAACACACTCACTCACTCATAACGTTGTTTTTATTCCTGTATAATAACAATCTTTACCCCGGGTCTACATCTTGCTACAGGCACCAGTATGTATTTCACGTCAGGAAGGTTTGAAGTTTGGTGATAATACATTCAGAAGATTTGTAATGATTTAGAAAAATAACTAGGTTAATATAAGTGAAATGACTTCTGAGTAAAAGAGAAATTGAAGAGCTAGTAGGAGCCATTTACAAAGATAATAAGATTACATGTACACTTTAAGCTACTAAAGGATACATCTGGATTTGAGAAATCGTCATTTCGCAGCATTATAATACGTGTGGCTATTGTAACACCTATCCACTTACATGGATAAGCGCATTATACGACGTTTTAAAGAAAAGTCAACTCCGATAAGTGTTGTGTTTTTGTTCAAATTGTAAACAACGCCCATGAATATGTACCAAACTGAGATCTACCAACATGTCAGTGAAACAACACGAAAGACTGGCTGATAAATAAAATGGAAGTAAAACCAAATCCTCAGGTTTATTCGACAATTGCAGAGGTTTTCAAAGTGGAAATATGTTTTCAGGTCAACATTCAGGTCAGTGTTGATTTCCAATGTACTTTTTATAATTATCCACTGTATGTACGTGTACAATGTAGATATTTCGAGCATTGGGAATACGTAAAAGACAGGTGAAACATGAACTGTGGATACGCAAGTATCTGGAACTATGGATACACACATTGGTGGGCGAAACACATGGGTCACGCATGGTGTGGAAATCACCAATATACGATGACATGTAACACGCCATACCAGAGGAAGTATAGGTGTAGAGGTTACAAACGTCCACAGACAATGTTCACATGATGGCTAATGATGGCAGTGTGGGGGCTAGCAAAACACACCCAAATACCCCCAGACAACAATTCTTGCCTGACAACATGCGAGTTGCGTACGTATGAAAATGCAGATTGGTTTGATAGATCCCTATACCAGTCTGACCCAAGGCTATGTCTGCACGTCTCCCCTGAAGTAGATCTTACTGGCGACATGCTCACGCTGATTTGTAACAGGATTGTGTATCAACGGACCGTTTGGCGAGTCATTTACGAAATACATAGTAAAAATACACATTCGTGTACCATCAACACATAAAAGCATGATGCATTTGTATCAAATCTTACACATATTGTCAGGAGGCTAATAATGCGTTCTGTATAACGAACTTATGAAGGTTTTGCTCTATAAATTATAACTACTCTAAAAAAGGTATATTAGCTTATAGTCATACAGATATACATGCAAAGATACTGGGGATATATATAGGGGATTTACTCCCTGAAGAAATTCTACATTGTTGTTTTTTCAACTATTTTTTCAAAATAATCTAACTGTATACCTGCGAACTTTTTCTATGCGAAGATATATATGGAGATAGTTGTAAATTATTCATTTGTAATCTATGCCGATCAAATGACAATAACAATTGGGCAATCTCACAAACGTTCATGTTCTTCCTACAGAATTTTACAGAATATACGAAGCTCATAACATATCTTCTTTTTTTTTGTAATTTTTTATTTTGTTGCATTTTTCAACATTTTATACAAACAGTTAACGATGATAATCCAGTATACATGATGAACAATCAAATAGGTTTAGCAGAATAAATCATGACATGACGACCAGAACTTGAAGAAAGCATTGATATTACAATTAATTATTGACGAACACTTTGTTAGCATATAATATTCGAACAGTTTAAAATGAAAAACTTGAAAAGATGGCATAATGTTGTTAAACCTATATACTTAAACTCATAACATATCTTGTCCCCAAGCAGCCATTGTGTTCAAGTGGCACACAGCCAAACAGGACACATCTACATATCGATTCCGGAGCCTAGTGCCTTTTGGGATTGCAGTTAAAACCACATAAACTCCCAGCAGTGATTGTTCCCCACGTCTATGTTACAGGTGGATAGTGTAGATCGACATTAAGCAGGTTATACCATGTACTCAGTGTGTTCAGTGGGTCATCATGACACAGCAGTTGTATTGTCCTCTACTCCTGTACTTATATTACCTTGTGTTATACTGTCATGCTATATATATCGCGTGTTCATCCCTTAATGATTTTATGCACGCTCCTGAACAATGTATATGTAACTAGTTACACTTCTTGCATTCAGCGTTTGGTTCTTAATGAATGAATACTTTTAATCTAATACACAAAACATACACTGAACTGCGGACTGTGCCATCACAACACACAACGATGGAGGACCCTTCAGCTCAGACACACATGAGGTGGGCGAATCACCGTGAATTTCTCGAAGAATGATTATAGTTGATTCATCCTGTAGTGCGCTTTACAATACCATTGAATCCAATGTTGGGGGCATTTTATGAAAAATCTTCCTGTGTGACAGATTTAAATTTAAATACTGAAAATATGCGGGGAAAAAATAAAGCGATACATTGCGACAACGTCACATTTTGATATAAAGAAACCGTAAACAATTTCTGGTTACACGTTCACTTCATTTTCATTAGACTTAGTCATAAGCCTTCTTTGGAATGGAGCCACGTTTGAGGTCGAAATAGGTAATAGGTCGTGGTCAAGGCCAGCATTTAGGGTGGTGTTACAGAATGGTACATTAGAGGCCAATTTTCAATGGTTTCGGGCCGTTCTGTTGGAACTTTTCTGTCCTCCAGGAGTTGTCACTCGTGGTCTACCGGTTCTTAACGTCATTGGTTAGCTGATGTTTCGACTGATAGTCGATGGGTGACAACAAACATCGCTTGTAATAGCCGTCAGTGACATGCCAGCATCCCGCATACTTGCAATAGCCGTCAATGACATGCCAGCATCCCGCATACTTGCAATAGCCGTCAATGACATGCCAGCATCCCGCATACTTGCAATAGCCGTCAATGACATGCCAGCATCCCGCATACTTGCAATAGCCGTCAATGACATGCCAGCATCCCGCATACTTGCAATAGCCGTCAGTGACATGCCAGCATCCCGCATACTTGCAATAGCCGTCAATGACATGCCAGCATCCCGCATACTTGCAATAGCCGTCAATGACATGCCAGCATCCCGCATACTTGCAATAGCCGTCAATGACATGCCAGCATCCCGCATACTTACAATAGCCGTCAGTGACATGCCAGCATCCCGCATACTTGCAATAGCCGTCAATGACATGCCAGCATCCCGCATACTAGTACTTGCAATAGCCGTCAATGAAATGCCAGCATCCCGCATACTTGCAATAGCCGTCAATGAAATGCCAGCATCCCGCATACTTGCAATAGCCGTCAATGACATGCCAGCATCCCGCATACTTGCAATAGCCGTCAATGAAATGCCAGCATCCCGCATACTTGCAATAGCCGTCAATGAAATGCCAGCATCCCGCATACTTGCAATAGCCGTCAATGACATGCCAGCATCCCGCATACTTGCAATATGCCAGCATCCCGCATACTTGCAATAGCCGTCAATGACATGCCAGCATCCCGCATACTTGCAATAGCCGTCAATGAAATGCCAGCATCCCGCATACTTGCAATAGCCGTCAATGAAATGCCAGCATCCCGCATACTTGCAATAGCCGTCAATGACATGCCAGCATCCCACATACCTAAAACTTGCCATCCTTAAGCAGTTGGCTTTTGAATAGACCTCATATTTGCTTATCGCCAGCGAATTCAATTATTGATTTTTCAAATTATCGAGCTGTAAGAACAGTTTACTAATTGTTATGTATTTTTTATAATAGTGTTGTATAAACGTACTAATACTGAGACTATAGCAATTGTTCCTGTAGAGCATGTGACCATTTTCAGTTTTTGTCAATTTCACTCATGTGGAAAAATCTTTTTCGACTGTTCACATGCCAATTTCTGTACATTTACATACCCAATATCTAAGATACGTTCTTGAATCATGGTATTTCGCCATTTTTAATACTTCACCAATTCAATTTTGCATTGCTTGCAAATCAGTCTGGTTGTCTGTTTCTTAACAAAGATATATAGTTCCTTCTGACACCATGGGACATAATGTATGCAGCATCCATTCGCATGGACAGATGTTTGAAGGCTGTTGACTTTAGCTACAACTTAAATAAACAGGAGGAACCTCACATCGCTAAATGGTTCACTGAAGTATATAGAAACAGATAGGGAATTAACGTAGGTGTCTGGAGACCCAGACCAGGTGGATTTACCCAACCCAGTGGACTCCACTGTGTAAACCGAGTGTTGTGGACAACACGAGATGGACAGTGTGAGTTTTTCATATGGAGTCTATTGTATTTCTGTGGTCTGCAATGGTGATCAGAGGAACGGATTTGGAAACATGATATGGTGAGCAGAGTGTACATAAGGTACAAGAACATTATGGGGTTTTACCCTGTGTTTGCAAACATTGTGATCATTACAGGCAGAATTGTATCCGGGATCGCGTGCAGGACATATACGAGACAGGCTAGTTTTACAGGTTTAGGAGAGCTACGGTGAAGGTACATCCAGTGTGGATACAAGTAAAGTGTTGGACAAACCGACTAGTCAGATGACAGTATTAAATAGGAATATATACTCTGTGCACGACATGATCACGCTTATCGGAAACGTAGATGGCATAGACTACACATTTGGAACATCGGGTCGAAAAACTCTGACATAAAGAACCTAACATAACCAATTCAGAAGATACCAACCGTTGAAGAGTATTGCACGTACTGGCTGCCGATAATACCCATTCAGATGATTTGATATTACTGTTGACACCAAGACGGTAGTTCCCCCGAGTATTAGTGATACTTCGCCTCCTTTAACTGTGTTATCAATTGCAGTATCATTTCATCATTTCTCACTCTTCTCATTATCTATCGGCTACTGCTTCTCTTTACAGTCCTCGTATTAAATCCACAGTTTATTTAATTATATGCCTGACACCAAGAAAGGGCGACAATTTTATTGATTTGTTTTAAGAACAAACAAAAGATCTTGAGATTTTATGGCCGCTTTACAGAATAATATTGTCCAATGCCATCGATTTCTTCGTGGACGTCTTTAGATACTGTGGCTCGCATGTAAAATCTGATACCTGTATATGTTTAGGCGCAGCCTGGCGAGTTTGGATATTGAATATGAACAAGTATTTAACTCTTTTTTTGGTCATCACGCCAAAATTTAAAAAAAAAAGTGGCAGCAAGAAATAAATCAAAAACGTCTATACAGAAAAAAGACAATAATAGGAGAAACATCAGCAGTGAGAATCATGGGACTGTACACCGTTTTGGACATTAAATAAACAGTTCTCAGTGAAAACAACAGTATCTGATGCCACGGAGCCGTCGCCTTGGGAACTCTACTATACACATACAGTTTCCATAATAGAGATGCTAACTGATGTTACAGTTTCAGACTGACTGACTGACTGAGTTTGGTTTTACGCCGCTTTTAGCAATATTCCAGCAACATCACGGCGGGGGACACCAGAAATGGGCTTCACACATTGTGCCCATGTGGGGATTCAAACCCGGGTCTTCGGCGTGACGAGCCAACGCTTTAACCACTAGACTACCCCACCGCCCCTTACAGTTTCAGAGGAAGTGGGTGAAGTTGTAAACACTTGATGCATTAAGTATGTGTCAGTTTTGTGAAACATATGGCAGATCCCATTCAGATGTTACAACTGAGGAAGATATATTGATAGCATTTGGTAGTCTCAAGTTAAATATGTCCCGGGAGCTGAAGGAATACCAGCAATATTTGTTAACTGTATCGAGTTTATGCGGTTATCCCAACAGCTGCTATGTTAAATGAATTTCCTAAAAAAAGGTCAAAGGGTATTGTTACAATTTTAAGAAAAGTAAAACGTATGATCCTAATGACAAACGTATATTTCTGCATCGTCGAAGTAAATCTAACTATATCTTTCAGTATTGTAATTCCACTGTCTTAACATTAACTACATTTAGAACATGCTGTTTATGATGAACCATCGCATAATTTAGGCTGTAAACCTTAAATGTTCCTTACAAGATAGCTACATTTTGTTTCCGGGCACCTACCCCACATCTGGCTGACATTGGGGCTACCATCTTCTGGCCTTTTGGCCCATATTTGTTTAGGCCTTCTGGTTGTCCTTACCTTTTTAGCCTTTGTCCTTTCCCGACCTTCATAGTTTATGAATTGTCACGTTTTCGTTTTCTTCCGTGATCAACTTTCCATTACCATAACAGCTCTTTTCCTTTTTAGCTTTATTAATCGTTTTCAGGAATTTCTTGACCGTTTTGAAGAAGGTGTCATATTGGTCATGTAGTTATAGGAGTGTTATCTCTGTCTGGTTTCCGCCACATCACGACGACGTGCAGATAGTCTCGGCCAGATAAACGAGAGGCTGATATAATGATACGACTGTTCAGTCGTTCAGAACATGTACAGGTACGTGTTTAAAAGTGTCCTTTCCATACTTGTCATGAAAATTGTTTACTATTTCAGGTGTCAAGTACCAGTACAGTAAGTAAACGTTACATACTAACAATCGACTTAACGATCTATCATGTCATTTGGTGAACATTTTAATGATATTTGCGATATATCATAACGCATTATTCTAACCTTCCATGAAATGGTCATGATATAATCGGTCTATTATAACACGAAATCCACATGTAATAATATACCGTGTCTAACCTAACATCCAGTGCATATGTTATTGCTGAGTGCGGCCTAAAACTAAACTCACTCACTCCAGTGCATATGTGAACAATTTGCCTAATCTGTCCTAACATTTAGTGCACATGTTTTATTGGTATAGTTCTTGCTTCAAAACGGTATAAGAATCTATACCGAAACATCACCATTGTCAAAATACAGAAGTTGATCATCAATAAAATCTTGTCATCTTCAGTGCTCACGTGAATAATATATCTTCTCTATCATAATATGCAGTGCACATGTGAATAACATCCCATGGTCTTTTATGACGGTTGGTGTACATTTGAAAAATATGCCTCCTCTCTCATAACGGTCGGTGTACATGTGAAAAATATGCCTCCTCTCTCATAACGGTCGGTGTACATGTGAAAAATATGCCTGCTCTCTCAAAACGGTCGGTGTACATGTGAATAATATGCCTGCTCTCTCATAACGGTCGGTGTACATGTGAGTAATATGCCTGCTCTCTCATAACGGTCGGTGTACATGTGAAAAATATGCCTGCTCTCTCATAACGTTCCACGCACAGGTATACAATACACATCACTGCACATGTGAATGCATGCCTTGGTATGTAATGTCAAGCGATATACACGACATTGTACATCGATCATGGCAGTGAAGAAATCAGAAATTCCATCCTCACCTCAAAATTAACATGTCTTTTTCCACAAAAGCCTTGGGAATAAAAATATGAATTTGCATAATCATACAGAAATATCACAAGTCTCTCGGACACTTCTGTGTTATTCAAATGCCGATTCATATGGACTTAAAAGCAAAGAAATTAAGTCCTACATCATGGTAGTTCTCTTGATAATGAGGCTGTCCCAACAGGTTCTTTTTGTGAATCATCGCTGTAATATAATAATAATAATAATAAATAATAAATTATGCATTTATATAGCGCATCTTATCCAGATATAATCCTGCATTTATATAGCGCATCTTATCCAGATATAATCCTGCATTTATATAGCGCATCTTATCCAGATATAATCCTGCTCAAGAGCGCTCAGTCATATGCTCTTTTGAAGAGTATGGTCTTCAGGGTGGATCGGAAGCTGCTGACATCCTCAGATTTCCTGACATCCGCCGGAAGCTCGTTCCATAGAACTGCACCAGCTCTGCTGAAAGTCCTATTTCCATAAGTTGTGGTCCGGGCCGGTGGCACTATCATCTGCTGTTTACATGCAGATCTCAGTGCACGTTCTGGTTGATACAACTGTGTGAGGTCTTGCAAGTACATTGGAGCCAAACCATGGAGTGATTTGAAGACAAACAGCAGTAGTTTGAAAACTGGGTTGACCTCTGGTTTCAGATAAATTATAAATAGTACTGTCCCAGTATACAACTATTTTTGAAGTGTCATGTCATGGTAGAATGGAAATAAACTCACTTTGTTCTGAATGAAGTCGTCTCACTGCAGTCTGGATACATGTTATTCATTCATTTGAAACCTCGCGCTTCACAGCTGGGTTCCAGATTGAAATATAAGGTATCTAATCTACACTTTGACAGACTCAAAACAGTCAATGCACAAAATGTCTGCATTCCAAATATGATACATGGTTGTAGTATTTCTCAATTGATGTATATTGTACTCAATCATGTTGCAAACACGTTACCGCGAGGACGGGAGCTCCTTGGGGAGTGTTTTTCCAAATATGCAACCTGCAGTGGTTACACGTGTGCGTTTCTTTCATTGTTTATTTCCATATTTCAGCCAGGGCGGAGGTAAAGCTTCGTGTAGTGAATGTCAACTACACCGAGGCGCTGTCAGACAAAACGTCGCTCGAATTTAGAGAACTTCAAAATGAGTTTTGTTCAAATGTAAGTGCGTATACAAACCTTTCTGTGTAACCCGCACGATAACTATAATTGTTTCAAGCCTGTTGAATTCCTGTTTAAGGAAACCTTTTACCAATGTAAACTCTTCTTTCTCTTAATAACCACTACATCTTGTAAAAGGAAAGCAGGGTTTGTTATGTTCCTAATTAAAAAGTAGGGATTTGAGATACCTATGTTTGTAGTTGACATGAAGGTGTTTGTAAGAGAGAAAGCGATGTTAGTAGCTGACAGGAGGACGTTTCCAGCTGTCAGGAGGATCTTTCTAGCTGAAAGGAGGATGTTTGTGGCTGACAGGAAGATGTTTGTAGCTGACAGGAGGATGTTTGCAGCTGACATGAGGACGTTTGTAGCCGACAGGAGGACGTTTGTAGCTGACAATAGGATGTTTGTAGCTGACATAGGATGTTTGTAGCTTACAGGAGGATGTCTGTAGCTGACAGGAGGATGTTTGTAGCTGTCTGGAGGATCTTTGTAGCTGACAGGAGGACGTTTGTAGCTGATGGGAGGAAGTTTGTAGCTGACAGGAGGATGTTTGTAGCTGTCTGGAGGATCTTTGTAGCTGACAGAAGGATGTTTGTAGGTGACAGATGGATGTTTGCAGCTGACAGATTGATGTTTGTAGCTGACAGGAGGATGTTTGTATCTAACAGGAGGATGTTTGTAGGTGACAGGAAGATGTTTGTGGCTGACAGGAGGATGTTTGTAGCAGACAGGAGGATGTTTGTGGCTGACGGGAGGATGTTTGTAGCTGACGTGAGACATGGATGTATCTTTTGTATGACAGGAGGATGTTTGTTTGTAGCTGACAGTGAGATGTTTGTAGCTGACAGGAGGATGTTTGTAGCTGACTCGAGGTGGTTTGAAGCTGACAGGAAGATGTTTGCAGCTGACAGGAGGATGTTTGTAGCTGACAGGAGGATGTCTGTAGCTGTCGGGAGGATCTTTGTAGCTAACAAGAGGACGTTTGCAGCTGTCTGGAGGAAGTTTGTAGCTGACAGGAGGATGTTTGTGGCTGACAGGAGGATGTTTGTGGTTGACAGGAGGATGTTTGTAGATGACAGGAGGATGTTTGTAGGTGACGGGATGATGTTTGTAGCTGACAGTAGGATGTTTGTAGGTGACAGAAAGATGCTTGTAGCTGACAGGAGGATGTTTGTAGGTGACAGATGGATGTTTGTGGCTGACAGATGGATGTTTGTAGCTGACAGATGGATGTTTGTGGCTGACAGGAGGATGTTTGTAGCTAACAGCAGGATGTTTGTGGCTGATGTTTGTATCTGACAGGAGGATTTTTGTAGCAGAGAGGAGGATGTTTGTGGCTGACAGGAGGATGTTTGTGGCTGACGGGAGGGTGTGTGTAGCTGACAGGAGGATGTTTGTAGCTGACGAGGAGGATGTTTGTAGCTGACAGGAGGATGTTTGTAGCTGACAGGAGGATGTTTGTAGCTGACAGGAGGATGTTTGTAGGTGACAGGAGGATGTTTGTAGCTGACAGGAGAATGTTTCCAGCTGATAGGAGGGTGTTTGTGGCTGACGGGAGGTTTTTCCGTAGCTGACAGGAAGATGTTTGTATTTGACACATGGATGTTTGTAGGTGGCAGATGGATGTTTGTAGCTGACAGGAGGATGTTTGTAGCTAACAGGAGGATGTTTGTGGCTGATGTTTGTAGCTGATTTGAGGTTTTTGTAGCTGACAGGAGGATGTTTGTGGCTGACAGGATCATGTTTGTAGCTGACAGGAGGACGTTTGTGGCTGACAGGAAGATGCTTGTAGCTGACAGGTGGATGTTAACAGCTGACAGGAGTATTTTTGTGGCTTACAGGAGGATGTTTGTAGCTGACAGGGGGATGTTTGTTCCTGACAAGAAGGTGTTTGTAGCTCACAGGAGGATGTTTGTACCTGACAGGAAGATGTTTGTAGCTGACAGGAGGACGTTTGTAGCTGACATGAGGATGTTCGTATCATTCTGGAGGATGTTCGTAGCTGACAGGTGGATGTTTGTTGCTGACAGGAGGATGTTTGTAGCTGACAGATGGATGTTTGCAGCTGACAGATTGATGTTTGTAGCTGACAGGAGGATGTTTGTATCTAACAGGAGGATGTTTGTATCTAACAGGAGGATGTTTGTAGGTGACAGGAGGATGTTTGTGGCTGACAGGAGGATGTTTGTAGCAGACAGGAGGATGTTTGTAGCTGACAGGAGGATGTTTGTAGCTGACGTGAGGATGTTTGTAGCTGACAGGAGGATGTTTGTAGCTGACTGGAGGTGGTTTGAAGCTGACAGGAAGATGTTTGCAGCTGACAGGAGGATGTTTGTAGCTGACAGTATGATGTTTGTAGCTGTCGGGAGGATCTTTGTAGCTGACAGGAGGACGATTGTAGCCGACGGGAGGACGTTTGTAGCTAACAAGAGGTCGTTTGCAGCTGTCTGGAGGATGTTTGTAGCTGTCTGGAGGAAGTTTGTAGCTGACAGGAGGATGTTTGTGGCTGACAGGAGGATGTTTGTGGTTGACAGGGGGATGTTTGTAGATGACAGGAGGATGTTTGTAGCTGACGGGAGGATGTTTGTAACTGACAGGAGGATCTTTGTATCTGACAGGAGGATGTTTGTGGCTGACAGGATCATGTTTGTAGCTGACAGGAGGACGTTTGTAGCTGTCAGGAAGATGTTTGTAGCCGACATGAAGATGTTTGTAGCTGACAGGAGGATGTTTGTTGCTGACAGGTGGATGTTTGTAGCTGACAGGAAGATGTTTGTTGCTGACAGGAGGATGTTTGTAGCTGACTGGATGTTGTTTGTAGCTGTCAGGAAGATGTCTGTAGCTGACATGATGATGTTTGTAGCCGTCTGGTGGATGTTTGTAGCTGACAGGACGATGTTTGTGGCTGACAGGAGGATGTTTGTGGTTGACATTAGGAGGTTTGTAGCTGACAGGAGTATGTTTGCCGCTTACAAGAGGATGGTTGTAGCTGACAGGATGATGTTAATAGCTTACAGGAAGATGTTTGTAGCTCACAGGAGAACGTTTGTATCTGACAGGTGGATGTTAATAGCTGACAGGAGGACGTTTGTAGCTCACAGGAGGATGTTTGTGGCTGACAGGAAGATGTTTGTAGCTGACAGGAAGATGTTTGTAGCTGACAGGAAGATGTTTGTAGCTGACAGGTGGATGGCAATAGCTGACAGGAGTATGTTTGTAGCTCACAGGTGGATGTTTGTAGCTGACAGGAGGATGTTTGTAGCTGACAGGAGGATGTTTGAGGTTGACATTAGGAGGTTTGTAACTGACAGGAGGATGTTTGTAGCTTGTACGAGGACGTTTGTAGCTGACATGAGGACGTTTGTAGCTGACAGGAAGATGTTTGTAGCTGACAGGTGGATGTTAATAGCTGACAGGTGTATGTTTGTAGCTCACAGGAGGATGTTTGTAGCTAACGGGAGGATGTTTGTAGCTAACAGGAGGACGTTTGTAGCGGACAGGAGGATAATTGTCTCTGAGAGGAGGATATTTGTAGCTGACAGAAGGATTTTTGTAGCAGTCAAGAGTACGGTTGTTGCTGACAGGAGGATATTTATGGCTGACTGGAATATATTTGTGGCTGACCGGAAGATGTTTGTGGCTGACAGGAGGATGTTTGTAGCAGACAGGAGGATGTTTGTGGCTGACGGGAGGATGTTTGTAGCTGACGTGAGGATGTTTGTAGCTGACAGGAGGATGTTTGTAGCTGACTGGAGGTGGTTTGAAGCTGACAGGAAGATGTTTGCAGCTGACAGGAGGATGTTTGTAGCTGACAGTAGGATGTTTGTAGCTGTCGGGAGGATCTTTGTAGCTGACAGGAGGACGTTTGTAGCCGACGGGAGGACGTTTGTAGCTAACAAGAGGTCGCTTGCAGCTGTCTGGAGGATGTTTGTAGCTGTCTGGAGGACGTTTGTAGCTGAAAGGAGGATGTTTGTGGCTGACAGGAGGATGTTTGTGGCTGACAGGAGGATGTTTGTAGATGACAGGAGGATGTTTGTAGCTGACGGGATGATGTTTGTGGCTGACAGTAGGATGTTTGTAGCTGACAAAAAGATGCTTGTAGCTGACATGAGGACGTTTGTAGCTGACAGGAAGATGTTTGTAGCTGACAGATGGATGTTAATAGCTGACAGGTGTATGTTTGTAGCTCACAGGAGGATGTTTGTAGCTGACGGGAGGATGTTTGTAGCTGTCAGGAGGACGTTTGTAGCAGACAGGAGGATAATTGTGTCTGAGAGGAGGATGTTTGTAGCTGACAGAAGAATTTTTGTAGCAGTCAAGAGTACGGTTGTTGCTGACAGGAGGATATTTATGGCTGACTGGAATATATTTGTGCTGACCGGAAGATGTTTGTGGCTGACAGGAGGATGTTTGTAGCAGACAGGAGGATGTTTGTGGCTGACGGGAGGATGTTTGTAGCTGACGTGAGGATGTTTGTAGCTGACAGGAGGATGTTTGTAGCTGACTGGAGGTGGTTTGAAGCCGACAGGAAGATGTCAGGCAGCTGTCAGAGGATGACAGCTGACAGGATGTTTGTAGCTGTCGGGGAGGATCTTTGTAGCCGACAGGAGGACGTTTGTAGCCGACGGGAGGACGTTTGTAGCTAACAAGAGGTCGCTTGCAGCTGTCTGGAGGATGTTTGTAGCTGTCTGGAGGACGTTTGTAGCTGAAAGGAGGATGTTTGTGGCTGACAGGAGGATGTTTGTGGTTGACAGGAGGATGTTTGTAGATGACAGGAGGATGTTTGTAGCTGACGGGATGATGTTTGTGGCTGACAGTAGGATGTTTGTAGCTGACAAAAAGATGCTTGTAGCTGACATGAGGACGTTTGTAGCTGACAGGAAGATGTTTGTAGCTGACAGATGGATGTTAATAGCTGACAGGTGTATGTTTGTAGCTCACAGGAGGATGTTTGTAGCTGACGGGAGGATGTTTGTAGCTGTCAGGAGGACGTTTGTAGCAGACAGGAGGATAATTGTGTCTGAGAGGAGGATGTTTGTAGCTGACAGAAGAATTTTTGTAGCAGTCAAGAGTACGGTTGTTGCTGACAGGAGGATATTTATGGCTGACTGGAATATATTTGTGACTGACCGGAAGATGTTTGTGGCTGACAGGAGGATGTTTGTAGCAGACAGGAGGATGTTTGTGGCTGACGGGAGGATGTTTGTAGCTGACGTGAGGATGTTTGTAGCTGACAGGAGGATGTTTGTAGCTGACTGGAGGTGGTTTGAAGCTGACAGGAAGATGTTTGCAGCCGTCAGGAGGATGTTTGTAGCCGACAGTAGGATGTTTAGTAGTCGGGAGGATCTTTAGCCGACAGGGAGGACGTCGTTTGTAGCCGACGGGGAGGACGTTTGTAGCTAACATCAAGAGGTCGTTTGCAGCTGTCTGGAGGATGTTTGTAGCCTGTCTGGAGGAAGTTTGTAGCCGACAGGAGGATGTTTGTGGCTGACCCGGGAGGATCTTTGTGGTTGACAGGAGGATGTTTGTAGATGACAGGAGGATGTTTGTAGCTGACGCGATGATGTTTGTGGCTGACAGTAGGTTGTTTGTAGATGACAGAAAGATGCTTGTAGCTGACAGGAGGATGTTTGTAGGTGACAGATGGATGTTTGTGGCTGACAGATGGATGTTTGTAGCTGACAGATGGATGTTTGTAGCTGACAGATGGATGTTTGTATTGACAGGGGATGTTTGTAGCTAACAGGAGGGTGTTTGTGGCTGATGTTTGTATCTGACAGGAGGATTTTTGTAGCAGAGAGGAGGATGTTTGTGGCTGACAGGAGGATGTTTGTGGCTGACGGGAGGGTGTGTGTAGCTGACAGGAGGATGTTTGTGGCTGACGGGAGGATGTATGTAGCTGACAGGAGGACGTTTGTAGGTGACAGGAGGATGTTTGTAGCTGACAGGAGGATGTTTCCAGCTGACAGGAGGATGTTTGTATTTGACACATGGATGTTTGTAGGTGGCAGATGGATGTTTGTAGCTGACAGGAGGATGTTTGTAGCTAACAGGAGGATGTTTGTGGCTGATGCTTGTAGCTGATTTGAGGGGTTTTGTAGGTGACAGGAGGATGTTTGTGGCTGACAGGATCATGTTTATAGCTGACAGGAGGACGTTTGTTGCTGACAGGAAGATGCTTGTAGCTGACAGGTGGATGTTAATAGCTGACAGGAGTATTTTTGTGGCTTACAGGAGGATGTTTGTTGCTGACAAGAAGATGTTTGTAGCTCACAGGAGGATGTTTGTACCTGACAGGAATATGTTTGTAGCTGACAGGAGGACGTTTGTAGCTGACATGAGAATGTTTGTATCTTTCTGGAGGATGTTTGTAGCTGACAGGTGGATGTTTGTAGCTGACAGGAAGATGTTTGTTGCTGACATGAGGATGTTTGTAGCTGACTGGATGTTGTCTGTAGCTGACAGGAAGATGTCTGTAGCTGACATCATGATGTTTGTAGCCGTCTGGTGGATGTTTGTAGCTGACAGGAAGATGTTTGTAGCTGACAGGGGGATGTTTGTACTGACTGACTGAGTTTGGTTTTACGCCGCTTTTAGCAATATTCCAGCAACATCACGGCGGGGGACACCAGAAATGGGCTTCACACATTGTACCCATGTGGGGATTCGAACCAGGGTCGTCGGCTTGACGAGCCAACGCTATAACCACTAGGCTACCCCACCGCCCCGGAGGATGTTTGTAGTTGACAGGAAGATGTTTGTAGCTGACGGGAGGACATTTGTAGCTGACAGGAGGACGTTTGTAGCTGACAGGAAGATGTTTGTAATTGACAGGAGGATGTTTGTAGCCTACAGGAAGATGTTTGTAACTTGCAGGAGTATGTTTGAGGCTGACAGGAGGATGTTCGTAGCTGACAGGTGGATGTTAATAGCTGACAGGAGTATGTTTGCCGCTTACAAGAGGATGTTTGTAGCTGACAGGAAGATGTTTGTAGCTTACAGGAAGATGTTTGTAGCTCACAGGAGAACGTTTGTAGCTGACAGGTGGATGTTAATAGCTGACAGGAGGACGTTTGTAGCTTACAGGAGGATGTTTGTAGCTGACAGGAAGATGTTTGTAGCTGACAGGAAGATGTTTGTAGCTAACAGGTGGATGGCAATAGCTGACAGGAGTATGTTTGTAGCTTACAGGAGGATGTTTGTAGCTGACAGGAGGATGTTTGTAGCTGACAGGAGGATGTTTGTGGTTGACATTAGGATGTTTGTAGCTGACAGGGGGGACGTTTGTAGCTTGTAAGAGGACGTTTGTAGCTGACATGAGGACGTTTGTAGCTGACAGGAAGATGTTTGTAGCTGACAGGTGGATGTTAATAGCCGACAGGTGTATGTTTGTAGCTTACTGGAGGATGTTTGTAGCTAACGGGAGGATGTTTGTGGCTGACAGGAGGACGTTTGTAGCAGACAGGAGGATAATTGTCTCTGAGAGGAGGATGTTTGTAGCTGACAGAAGGATTTTTGTAGCAGTCAAGAGTACGCTTGTTGCTGACAGGAGGATATTTATGGCTGACTGGAATATATTTGTGGCTGACCGGAAGATGTTTGTAGCTGACAGGAGGATGTTTGTAGCTGACAGGAAGATGTTTGCAGCTGACAGGAGGACGTTTGTAGCTGACAGGAGGACGTTTGAAGCTGACAGGAAGATGTTTGTAACTGACAGGAGGATGTTTGTGGCTGACAGGAGGATGTTTGTAGCTGACAGGAAGATGATTGTAGTTGACAGTAGGATGTTTGTAGTTGACTTGAGAATGTTTGCAGCAGGTTCTTTTTATTGTATTGGTTTGTTGCACAGGTCGGCAGCCTTGTGGATAAAGACAAATCTACAACCGGATACGAGGGGTGTACAGTTGAAAGTGCAAGGTTTTTTTCTTTGTTAAATCTGTGTGTAATCATGGTTTAACAGCACGGGAATATAACCAAAGGGTTGATACAGCGTACATTTACGTGCACCTTTACCTTACTTCAAGATAACTGCGCTTACGCTGTGTGTGTGTGTCTGTGTGGCACATTTTCTGGTGTAACAACTGCGGGATTAGCTTGTATTTACTGCTAGTGAACAGACTGCATGCCTCAGTTGAACATGGCTACCTTACTCAGTCCATCTCACTGGTTTGTGACAAGTGATTTACATAGGCATTCAGTTATATTATATTGTAGCTTACGGACTATCATCTTATTTCGTTATGTTCAGGGCATATATAATGCTTCACTCTTTGTTTTAGATCACTCAATGTGTCAAACGCAAAATGTTTGGAACATATATGAACTCTGAGCTAGCTAGATCTTGTAGTAGTAGTAGTAGTAATAGTAGTAGTAGTAGGTGGTGGTGGTGGTGGTAGTAGTAGTAGTAGTAGTAGGTGGTGGTGGTGGTGGTAGTAGTAGTGGTAGTGAGTGAGTGAGTGAGTTTAGTTTTACGCCGCTTTTAGCAATATTCCAGCAATATCACGGCGGCGGACACCAGAAATGGACTTAACACATTGTGCCCATGTGGGGGATCGAACCCGGGTTTTCGGCATGACGAGCGAACGCCTTAACCACTAGGCTACCCCACCGCCCTAGTAGTGGTAGTGATAGTAGTAGTAGTAGTAGTGGTAGTAGTGATAGTAGTAGTAGTGGTAGTGGTAGTGGTAGTGATAGTAGTAGTAGTAGTGGTAGTGATAGTAGTAGTGGTAGTGGTAGTGGTAGTGATAGTAGTAGTAGTAGTGGTAGTGATAGTGGTAGTGATAGTAGTAGTAGTACTGGTATTGATATTGATAATGGTAATGGTAGTGCTAGTGGTTGTGGTAGTGGTAGTGGTAGTGGTAGTGGTAGTGGTAGAGGTGGTATAGGTAGAGGTAGTATCGACATGTTGTCATTGAGATAAACGCGTAAGAGACATCTAATGAAAGTGACGTCTGAACAAATCTGTATAGGATGATTTAATTGAAATGATGACATTTTTTTATAACCCAATAAATCCATACCATCTTCATATTTCATTTGAAGTTCATATTAAAAGTAGATGAAGGTAAATATTACCTGCCTCATAGCCAATAATGGAGTCGAAGACAGTGAAACAGTAAGAGGCCTGACACAGACAATATGATAACGGTACATGACACAGTAACCTCCCTTGACACAGTAACGGTACATGACACAGTAACGGTATATGACACAGTAACGGTATATGTCACAGTAAAGAAAATACAAATGGTAACGGTATGTGACACAGTAACGGTATGTGACACAGTAACGGTATGTGACACAGTAACGGTACATGACACAGTAACGGTATATGACACAGTAACGGTACATGACACAGTAACGGTACATGACACAGTAACGGTACATACGACACAGTAACGGTATGACACAGTAACGGTATGTGACACAGTAACGGTATGACACAGTAAGTAACGGTACACAGTGTAGATGACACAGTAACGGTATATGACACAGTAGCGGTACATGACACAGTAACGGTATATGACACAGTAACGGTACATGACACAGTAACGGTATATGACACAGTAACGGTACATGACACAGTAACGGTATATGACACAGTAACGGTATATGACACAGTAACGGTACATGACACAGTAACGGTATATGACACAGTAACGGTATATGACACAGTAACGGTAGATGACACAGTAACGGTATGTGACACAGTAACGGTACATGACACAGTAACGGTATATGACACAGTAACGGTACATGACACAGTAACGGTATATGACACAGTAACGGTACATGACACAGTAACGGTACATGACACAGTAACGGTACATGACACAGTAACGGTATATGACACAGTAACGGTACATGACACAGTAACGGTATACATGACACAGTAACGGTACATGACACAGTAACGGTATGTGACACATGACGCACAGTAACGGTATATGACACAGTAACAGTACATGACACAGTAGCGTATATATGACACAGTAACGGTAACGGTATATGACACAGTAACGGTACATGACACAGTAACGGTATATGACACAGTAACGGTATATGACACAGTAACGGTATATGACACAGTAACGATACATGACACAGTAACGGTATATGACACAGTAACGGTATGTGACACAGTAACGGTATATGACACAGTAACGGTATATGACACAGTAACGGTATTGACATAGTAACGGTAATGACATAAGGGTCCATGCCTAAACCTTTATATAGTTTATATGTTATTCGTGGCAATGTGTTCTGACAATAGGAAACACACGACACATGCATGTTTTGACATTCTTCATTGTACATTATGTTGTACACCCTCACTCCATTTGTGTTACAGTAACGGCTCCGTCATCATTGTAGCACTGTTCTACTTCGCCGTTCAAACCCCAGCTCCTGTGCAGGTTGCTGTGACAAACATCTTTAAAGCCCCCTCATCCCCAACCACGACAGTGTCGATCTACGTCATCGAGACGGGGTCTGTGACAGTTGTTGTGGCCACCGTAGATGAGACGAGGCCAGGCTACACCAGCAGTAAAGCCAGGTAGGAAAGTTGGATTGCGTCCACCTGACATATATGCCTTCACCTGATATATACTACTGGAATAAAGTAACTGTGCGTTATTTGATGTTATGCCATTTTAATGTTTAAAGATAATATGGTGATCTGTGGTGTGTTCCTAAATCACTGTTTAACTGTGGACGGCATAATATCGAAATTCGGATGATTTGACAATAGGCATCGTGACACGCCCTTGAAGAGATGTGGTGTCGAAGGTGAGTGCCCAAACTCAGCATCGTATGTGTGTGTTAACACGGTCTGAAATTCGACCGATTTGCACAGAACCACTCAAAAACGATTCGACGGATCGGCACTGCTGACTGTTCAAAATTCGACAGATTAAGCCGTAATCTCTAGAATCGTGTCCACCACTGGCGTTGATGAAGGCTTAACAACGACGATGCATATGTTATATTAGGCTTACTGGATGACTAAAGATAATAGTTTGCATCTTAAGCATACTAGAGGACACTTGTGTATGTATGGCGTCTTAGTTCAGATCTAGGCTTACTTGTTGACATTAAGAGCATGGACTGGAAAGTATTCTTAGGAAGACTGGGAAATCTTTTGCACTGACGTTTCATAAACTCAACCACATTAAATAGCTTGACACGTGCTAAATTGAATGCCACATTTGAAGTATTACTGCTATCATCCAGATAGCAATACTATGAAAATGTGAATTGTTGCATCAAGAGAAATCTTGCATGACGTTACATGACCCCTTACGCTACCTAACACAATGACGTCGGTCACCAAGACGATGTTCAAGCTATCATTCATTGGTGTGTGTGTGGCACAACAAGAAACTAAAATATATTACACCCTCAACTTTATTACCAATATAGTTGGTCTGAAGTCCCTTACTATGTTCAGAATATTCATGTGAACATAGACTATCTGTTTATTACTGTGCATGCTTCTGGTAATACTCGTTTGTGTTCCATCAAAAAACATTCTGTGCCCAAACACGTTTTTATCCATGAGACCCGTTATCAAGTTTAACTTGTTAGAAATGTTTTCATATAACAAATAGCCGTTCACATTGGGCAGATTGAAACTATTATTTATGGTAAATATATCCGGATAAGTAGACAGTTTCAACATTTGGTCTACCTCACATTAAATAACCACATTTCCATTGCACTAATTTTCAGTGGCCGAAAAACCTCAAACCTCACGCCTAGTTGAAACATCAAAGGCGGGTGTAGTTGAAACATCAAGCCCAGATATTAATGTCAAAATATCAAGCTCGGATGGAGTTATCGAAAATCAACCCCGGATGTAGCTGTTGAAACATCAAGCCCGGATGTAGTTGTCGGAACGTCAAGCCCGGATGTAGTTATCGCAACATCAACACAAGGTGTAGTTGTCGGAACATCAAGCCCGGATGTAGCTGTTGAAACATTAAGCCCGAATGTAGTTGTCGCAACATCAACACAGGGTGAAGTTGTCGGAACATCAAGCCCGGATGTAGTTGTCATAACATCGAGCTCGGATGGAGTTGTCGAAACGTCAAGACCGAATGTAGTTATCGCAACATCAACACAGGGTGTAGTTGTCAGAACATCAACCCCGAATGTAGCTGTTGAAACATCAAGCCCGGATGTAGTTGTCGGAACATCAAGCCCGAATGTAGTTGTCGCAACATCAACACAGGGTGTAGTTGTCGGAACATCAAGCCCGGATGTAGTTGTCATAACATCGAGCTCGGATGGAGTTGTCGAAACATCAACCCCGGATGTAGCTGTTGAAACATCAAGCCCGGATGTAGTTGTCGGAACATCAAGCCCGGATGTAGTTGTCGATACATCAAGCCCGGATGTAGTTGTCATAACATCGAGCTTGGATGGAGTTGTCGAAACATCAACCCCGGATGTAGCTGTCGGAACGTCAAGCCCGGACGTAGTTGTCGGAACATCAAGCCCGGATGTAGCTGTTGAAACATCAAGCCCGGATGTAGTTGTCTGTACATCAAGCCCGGATGTAGTTGTCATAACATCGAGCTCGGATGGAGTTGTCGAAACATCAACCCCGGATGTAGCTGTTGAAACATCAAGCCCGGATGTAGTTGTCGGAACATCAAGCCCCAATGTAGTTGTCGCAACATCAAGCCCAGATGTAGTTGTCATAACATCAAGCTCGGATGTAGTTGCTGGAACATCAACCTCTGATGTAGTTGTCGTAACATCAAGCCCGGATGTAGTTGTCATAACATCAAGCTCGGGTGGAGTTGTCGAAACATCAACCCCGGATGTAGCTGTTGAAACATCAAGCCCGGATGTAGTTGTCGGAACATCAAGCCCGGATGTAGTTGTCGGAACATCAAGCACCGGATGTAGTTGTCATAACATCAAGCTCGGATGTAGTTGCTGGAACATCAACCTCTGATGTAGTTGTCATAACATCAAGCCCGGATGTAGTTGTTGCAACATCAATCCCAGATGTAGCTGTCGGAACATCAAGCTCGGGTGGAGTTGTCGAAGCATCAACCCCGGATGTAGCTGTTGAAACATCAAGCCCGGATGTAGTTGTCGGAACATCAAGCCCAGATGTAGTTGTCATAACATCGAGCTCGGATGGAGTTGTCGAAACATCAACCCCGGATGTAGCTGTTGAAACATCAAGCCTGGATATAGTTGTCGGATCATCAAGCCCGGATGGAATTGTAGGAACATCAACCCAAGATGCAGTTGTCGGAACATCAACCCCGGGTGTAGTTGTCGGAACGTCAAGCCCTGATGGAGTTGTCGGAACATCAAGCCCGGATGTAGTTGTCATAACATCAAGCTCGGATGTAGTTGCTGGAACATCAACCTCTGATGTAGTTGTCATAACATCAAGCCCGGATGTAGTTGTTGCAACATCAATCCCAGATGTAGCTGTCGGAACATCAAGCTCGGGTGGAGTTGTCGAAGCATCAACCCCGGATGTAGCTGTTGAAACATCAAGCCCGGATGTAGTTGTCGGAACATCAAGCCCGGATGTAGTTGTCATAACATCGAGCTCGGATGGAGTTGTCGAAACATCAACCCCGGATGTAGCTGTTGAAACATCAAGCCTGGATATAGTTGTCGGAACATCAAGCCCGGATGGAATTGTAGGAACATCAAGCCAAGATGCAGTTGTCGGAACATCAACCCCGGGTGTAGTTGTCGGAACGTCAAGCCCTGATGGAGTTGTTGTAACATCAAGCTCGGATATAGTTGTCATAACATCAACCCTGGGTGGAGCTGTCGGAACATCAAGCCCAGATTTTGATGTCCTAACATCAACCTCGGATTTAGTGGTTGAAACGTCAAGCTCGGATGTAAGTCTCCAAACATCGATCCCGGACGCAGGTGTACAAACATCACACCTGGGTGAAGCTGTTCAAACAACACTTTCTGCTGTGATAAGTACTGGTTCAGTTATCGCATCGACAAGCCCTGGTGTATCAAACACACGTTCTGTTATGTCAGACTACACATCTGCGTCGATAGATCCTTCTCCAACGACGCATGACGTTTCATCCACCGTCATTCCAACAACATCACTTCCTCCACCGACGTTGTCCATGACCGATGTCAGTGTCTACGAAGGAGACGGGGACGCGATTCTCCTGTGTCAGATGGACAGAAGCTACACATTGAGCAGTGTGCACTTCTTCAAGGATGACGCCCTGTTAGGGCCAGTCTCCAGACGTCCAGCGACAACATGACCGAGTTCACCTACAGGATAAACGATCCACGCTGCACTGACACCGGTGGATATGAATGTCGTGTAGTGAGCGAAGAGGGAATCTCACAACGACGGCGAATGTTACAGTTCTTGGTAAGCACTGACAACGTCTGTTTTAACGCAATTATAGCCACATGCTAAATGATGCTGGAGGCATAATATAGAACATCAACGAAAACTCGACTTCAAATATGTCATGCATAATTCAATAGTTTCATAATGTATACACATACTCACGCACTCACAACATATGCCATACACACGTAAGTTCTGTTTCATTAGTATGAGATCACTTTTAATCCACTACTTGCGGATTCTCGTATCAGTTCGATCAGGACAGCCGACCTTGACCCTGCCGTTTGAGATAGTGGAAGGCAGATGGAAGGAGACGTCATTGTTTTGTGTGCACCTACAGACAAGGTGTCCCTCCAGCTGAAGTATACTGGAGTGCAACACTGGCCAATGGAACAACACTGACAGACTGAACTTCATCAGACAGGAGTTTGTGGCGGAGAACCAGACTGACACGTGTGCCCTGGAGGCGACCTCCCAGTTTTACTATGCCTTCAGCATGGCATGGAATGCCTCTAGCATCTGCTGTAACGTCAAGCAAGGAGCTAACACATCCACAGCCTGTGGAGATGTTCATGTTATTCCATGTAAGTAGATACAAATATCAGACAATTCTACTACACTTGAATAGATTGTATAACCATTGTGTGCATTTAATCATTTATTAGCAACACTGAGTGGCATCGTATTTCTCGACTGACAAAATACTGATGCGTGTTATAAGAAGTAGCCATTATTTATATGATCATTTTTCAGCGGACATGTGCGTGAACCGGACTGGGAAATTAGAGCATCCCTACACGTGTCAACTCTGGATCTCATGTGTCAACGATGTTGTGTACATCTCCACATGTGGGGAAGGCCAGTGCATTGATGTAGAGAAAGATGTGTGTATGTCAGGAGGTCCTCCTCCTGGTCCATCAGGTATATAACAGACGATTATGACTAAAGAGTAAACAACACTCTAACAAGTAAACTTATACGTTAAACAAAAGAAAGGGTTGAGGTGCTCTTCTCCTTTAGTGATCAGTACTTTTATGAAAATGAGTCCTGTTATTTATTTATCTTTACAAATACAAACCATATCAGTGACCTAGCAAAATTCTGACAAAATGTGAATGCCATATAAAGTGGGCAAATTCAACATATTTATCATCAGGGATAACACTCTCTCAGTTGGAGGCATTTTGAGATTAAATGAGATAAAAATATGTGCTATAGAGTGCCAGTTGTCAGACCAGCATTTTGTCGACGCTGCGATGGCTGTATGAGATTGATCGGTGACTTTGTGAGCTGGTGATCTGGTGCCTGACTCTGAGAGTGCGGCATCGAATGCCGAATGGGACTTAACCAAAAGGGTTCTAACATATGTTCTTGACAGAGAAAGTGTAATCCCAAATATAAAAAGTGTTGACCACTTTCTGAATGGCACTGTGCATCATACTTCTGCCACACTGAAGTACTATCCTGACATTGATATACATACATTCATAGTAACATTTGTATAGCGCCGATATCCAGCTCAGCTGCTCAAAGGCGCTTTGTTTTTCCCTCGATCACTGGGTGTCAATCTCAAGTAGTATTATTAATCTCAACTCCGTGGGGATCATACAACTCTTGCAGCCACTAGGAGCACCGAGTTAGTGTGCCTTTCCCATCCTCACGAGGTACCTAAATGTGCTTGATTTATATAGTAGGTGACTGATACATGCAGTAAGTGACTACTTCTATGTGACTCTTCCACAAAGGTGAATTCTCCTGTGAAGGCAGAGTGAGTGGCGATCGCATACCACGAAGTTACACATACCCAAGTCACTGCAGAGAGTACTACTGGTGCGTGAATGGTGCTCCCGACAACATTACATGTCCTGGGGATTCCTATGTCATCTGGAATACAACATCAGAGTTGGCCTGTACTGACGATTATGCTCTTTCATATTGTGCTGTGAAAGGTAATCCTCATCCTTGAATTACCTAGGAACTGGCATCAAGTACTTATGTGCGTGTCATGCACTACCTATATCCAGTCTCCTCTTTACATTCTGTCATCACGAGATTAATGTATCCGTGCCCACTGGATAAATATAAATGTTTATATTCTCATGGTAAATTTCCCGCATTTTTATTAATGGAGACTGTAGAAAGTCTGTATCCTGGAACTACCTTACCTCCTGTTGTTTCAGCTGCTAATGAAAGTGCGAGTGGGACAGGAACGACTGTGGGTAAGAGCCATGTTTCCTTTGACTTTTTTATCCCCTGAATTATATAATCAAATAGTTAAATGTAGGTGTTGAAAAGTAATGTCTGACATATGGTTAAGCGTTGCGGAGATTCAATGTATGGTTACATCCTGTGACCCAAACCGTAAGCAGTAGAGCACTCGTTTCGCTGAAGCGTTTTTACTTATTGCCATTGTATATTTGATATCCTGTAGATACGATCATAACGTAATACTTTTTGTGTCATAACATACAATTAACACGCCATTTTCTTTTCTTGAATCAGCGCCAGACAAAACCACGACGATAGGTAATGACATTTTTGTTTCAACACTCTCAATCTGAGTATGATTTTTACCATCCAATACTGGTTTCCAGAGGAGATATCGTTTAGGGAAGTTTTGAGCTAATTGCTGATTGGTCAATATTTTCTGACTACTTTCATCTCCCTTAGCTGTAAACAATGATGGCCAAAGCATTTGAGCTCTATTGTTCATGATTTGTTCTAACGGCATAAAAGTTTACTAAAATTGCAATAAAGAAATGGTGAAACTTATGCATTGCAGAATTTAAAGCAATGAATGTTAGCACTACTTTTCTATGTGCTTGTTTTTGACGTAATGGTGTCACACGTTCCCTCATCCATCACTCCGGTTCACGTGGATGTATTCATACGCAATTTCTTCAAATGAACTTATTACAGGTGACGTTTCGTTTTTAATTTCTCTTGAACGACAAACTAAGTAAGATATTGGATGATGAATAGAATCACACTCCTGTCTTTTGATATCAAATATATCACCACTCGTTGATAAAAGGGTGAAAACTCAGAGGCTTCCCTCGGTGTTTTCCCATTTTTATCAACTCGTTAAGGTATCTATGCATAAACAGGATAACCAGAGTCAGTCACTCATTCATTACCCAATGGCTATGTAAACAATCTCGCACATAACTGACATTATTGGCAGTGCATAATGCCATACAAAGAAACCCATTGGTAATTAGCACATTGAGTTTTTTTTGTTAACTACTGTCAACTACTGAATATCGCGAATAGGTAATACTGTCCCAAGCTCACCATATCATTTGTTTGTTCAAGATCCTTTCTCCTGCAAAAGCAGAGCAACTGGCGACAATATTCCTCGTGAATACACTCATCCAGATCACTGCCAGGATTATTATTGGTGCGTAAATGGAGCTCCCCTCAATAGGACGTGTCAGGGAGAGTCCGTTTTCCTGGCTAATGCAACACAAGCTTTGGCCTGCACCGACGATCTTTCACTTTCATATTGTGCACAGCAACGTCCCCCAGCCAGTAAGTATAACGTTTATTCTTGCAAAGTCACGTACTTCTTCAGATCTCTTGATAAAGCGAACTTTGATGATAGCCATACACTATATCTAGGATTCAATATATGTCTGTCTGTTATATTGCGGTGTTGAGAACATTGTAGTCTTTTTCCATGTCTTTAGACACACAACTATGTAAACCAAACCAGTAATGTAGGACTGTCTTTGTCCTTTCAGCTGCTGGTGATAATAACACTGAAGATACAACCGTCACTACCGTGGGTAAGGATGATGCAACGCAATAAAACAATTACACAAGATACATAAGTCATGATATCAAGGGACACAATATAATACAATATTTTACGTATCATTCAATAGAGCAAACCCGACATACTCTAATACATTACACAAGAATATACAAAATCATAGTACATATTCAGACAGTACGTAGTAGTAGTAGTAGCTGGATCTTGTAGTAGTAGTAGTAGTGGTAGTGGTAGTGATAGTAGTAGTAGTAGTAGTAGTAGTAGTAGTAGTAGTAGTAGTAGTAGTAGTAGTAGTAGTAGTAGTAGTAGTAGTAGTAGTAGTAGTAGTAGTAGTAGTAGTAGTAGTAGTAAGGTAAAGTCGGAAAGTAACGTTTCTTACCTGGGTGACTAAATGTGAGTTAATTAGACATCCACAGAATGATCTGTGACTGTCTGTCGTCCGTATTTTATACCTATTCTAGCTATCATAGATAAACGCATTTACTGATTAAACTTACGGTAACGTTGTAATTATAGACTTGAGATTATATAATTTAGTTTGACCGAATCATCGATGGTAAAACTTATAATGGATCTCCACTTGTGCTACGAATGTGTATGTGGCACGCGATTGTCTAAGTCCGATGCTCTTTATCAGTGTGACCTTTGGCAGGTTTAAGATAGTGGAACGTTCTTATTGGTATGTCATATGTCCAATTTCCAATAGCATAAAATGTCATAAAGTATTTGTAAAACTTTGTCCGTTTTCGCCATGTCAATGATTTGTCACAGTTTGATGGAGATTAACACGTGTCCAAGAACTCATGATTTGAAAGTCAAAGTAATCGAGTGATGTGAAATGATGGTATTCAGTTTAAAGAGGATTCAGAACACAGCAAAACTCAATATTGCTTTGTCTTTTCTTAAATAGATCCAACAAACGTCACGTCAGGTACTGGGTGTGTTTAAGTGTGCTGTGTATTGTTGTTTTAACCGAGACAAGTCGTACATAAATATGTGTGTAATAATACCAGTTCCTTTCTTGTTGCGATATGTTTTGTTCTATACTAACTTGTGCTTTTACGTCACATAGAAACTAATATATGCAGTGACTAATTATAATTTCTTTTTCGAAATTTGCCATATTATCTTACCTTATGCTAAACAAAAAACGAAACTGCACACGTGTTACTGTATGTCCCAAACATACTCATATAGGACACAATGTGTTGCTAGTGGATAAATCTGGCTTATGGACGTAAAGCTAAAATAGGATTAGGCATTAAGGTGAGTTTGGTTCACCTTCCATATTCAACAGCATCACGCTTGGGTCACCTTTTGATTTCACAGGGACTAGGCAATTGCATTGGAGCTTGTACGGTACCGCATATGTCCTCTTCTTGCATTCACAAGAGCAAGGCAACGTTGTCTCGCTGACAGCCTAACACCCGTGAACACAGGATCAGACATTGCTGTACCAACATGGCGCCGCCCAGCTCTTGAACATTCCGGGGCTGACGTCTCAAGGCACGAAGACTTCTTCCAAGAGCATACGATACGTGCTCGATGGGACTGAGGTCAGGTGATCTCGATGGCCAATCCATGACGTCAATACCAGCATTTAGCAGGACATTTAGCCATCTGTAGGTGCTATTGTGCCCGGCGTAGATGTCCATTACGGTCTGTTTACCTGTGGCAGAATCGGCGCAGTATAAGGACGTCAAGCACGAAAGAAGGGCAGCACACAAGCGGTTTCGTATGGATTGGGCAGTTACGGGATTCGAAACAATGCCTTGACGTTGCGGTCGTAAAACGATGACAAGTCAAGTCAAATCAAAGTTTATTCTCATGAGTCATATACATGGCACAGAGTAAACAAATATACATACAAAACCCAATGAAACACATACATGTTATATTAACGGAGCGTATGCAAGCCCCATTTCACAAAAAGAGCAAGTTTAACAAGTATTGGTTTGTATGTGATAGACATCAGTTGATATTTATCAACAGTGGGATGTTTACAATAATAGGGAGATATTTGTTTCGTAATTTGTTTATCACATTGCATTCTAACATAAAGTGAAATTCATCCCAATTTTACTCTTACATGATGTACACGGTCTATTTTCTTTATCAATTTTATGTCACCTACCACTTTCAGGGAGTCTATAGTTACAGGTTCTAAGTTTTGTGGTATAAATACGTAAATCTAGAGGAAGTTGCAACAAATAAGTTTCAATATAAAGATTATCCTTAAACATATTGTAATATAGGTCTTTCGATGGTTGTGATTTACGTTCTCTCCAAGTTTGTAGAAACTGATCAACGAGTACAGTTTTAACATTATTTATCAGCCAATGGGTATTCTGAAATTCTTGTAACTGCCAAATGTAACTAAAGCCTGTACTCTTTAAGACAGATTTTACTTCTGCTATTAGTGGATATGTAGCATTTGCCTGAGAATTTTGCAAACTGAACATTAATTTACACATAACCTTTGATAGTTTACCATGAGATAATAATAATTTACATCATGATAACATTCTCCAAAAAAAATTTGATAGAAATACTAAGTGGATATCTACCAAGTTCACCGTAAACCATAAAGTCTGGGGTTGTTGTTTTTACCTTCAATATGTATTTACAAAATTTCAAATGAATACGTTTCAATTGAATATCGTTTTCGTAGCCCCACACCTCAGCACCATACAATAAAATAGGCTTAACAAGTTGATCAAAAAGTTTAAGTTGGCGGTCGAACGGTATATGGCGTAGCCGAATTTGATTGTGCTCAACATGTGACGTCACGAAAGGCCGTCCTGACCTGGGCCGATCAGATGGCGTACCCGTTTGATGCACATATGTCCTGAGGGTGTGAATTGTCCATCTGCTGCATCTCATGGCAACAGCCACAGTAGACTGATCAGCATGGAGCATGCGATTGCACGTTCTCGTCAACATTTTTAAGGCGTGTCATGAACATGGTTTTTCTCTCAAGAACTGTTAACGTGTTTTTGTTAATCACCCAACAAATTCTGCACACGTGTTGGTGGTTAGGCACATGGAATTGTGGTCACAGTGCTGGGTCGCGTTTTCACAAAAGAGCGTGCTGCATGCACCCCCGCATGGTTCACCATAGTTGAAATAGGAGGATACATCAGGTTAGACCTGGCCTGGTCTTTATGATATTCGCCATATTAAGTGCATTTTAATACCCATTTTCAATATAATTTATTGCTCTAAGTATGAAGGCGTTCTTTGTAGTTCAGAACATATTGCTTATCTCTATGTAAATTAACTGTTTGTATGTGACATGTGCAAGAATGATGGACATAGAACTCCAGTGGCGCGGCCGGGAATCTGAAATCACTGGAGCGGAACTTGTACTGACTATCATAGAAGCTGACTTTTTCACGCGTATTTATTCAGTAATGCTTGTATGAATTGCAAATGCATGGGTCGGAAGTAAATGTGCAACCTTTCACCTATGAAGACATATTTTTATAAATTTGTGTCTTATAAATTCAGTCTGCAAAACATATTTTCAATACGATACACGCAAGCTGATACGTGCCTATCTGAGGCTTAACATGGTACGCCAAAACTACTGTCCTGGCGTTACAAAAAACCTACGTAACTAGGACAATCGGCTAAAGCGAATATAAATAGGGTGATTTCCAGTTCACGTGAACAAACATGTTACATGCATGAGTTACGTGCCTTTGTCCACGCTTAGTTTGTCTGGGAACAGCTGGCCCAGTGTGGACGGTGATTGGGGTCAAGAGATCCCTAAAGTACTTATCAGGAATCGTTGTAACAATAATCTTTTCATTACTGTTAGTTTAACCATTATTAGATAAGTGCCTGTTTCTTTATGAGAGAGGAAGATTTTAACATACATCCGCATCACCTTTGTTGTCAAGTGAATCTCCACAGATTATATATTCGTTTCTAGGTAAGTACTGAGTTAAAACCAAAACAGGTATGAATGGCAAATCCACATGGGTTTTCCTTAATATATTCAGTGAGATGTAATGAAATGATTTGACCATTGAGTCAGTTGTCAATTGTAATTAAACTAATGTTTTTACTGTACTGTACTGTATTTGAGCTATATTGTTCATGATTTGTTCTAACGGCATAAAAGTTTACTAAAAATGCAATAAAGAAATGGTGAAATTTATGCATTGCAGAATTTAAAGCAATGAATGATAGCACTACTTTTCTATGTGCTTGTTTTTTGACGTAATGGAGTCACACGTTCCCTCATCCATAACACGGGTTCACGTGGATGTATTCATACGCAATTTCTTCAAATGACGTTGTTACAGGTGACATTTCGTTTTTAATTTCTCTTGAACGACAAACTAAGTAAGATATTGGATGATGAATATCATTGGCAGTGCATAATGCCATACAAAGAAACCCATTGGTAATTAGCACATTGAGGTTTTTTTGTTAACTACTGTCAACTACTGAATATCGCGAGTAAGTAATACTGACCAAGGCTCACCATATCCTTTGTTTGTTCAAGATCCTTTCTCCTGCGAAAGCAGAGCAACTGGCGACAATATTCCTCGTGAATACACTCATCCAGATCACTGCCAGGATTATTATTGGTGCGTAAATGGAGCTCCCCTCAATAGGACGTGTCAGGGAGAGTCCGTTTTCCTGGCTAATGCAACACAAGCTTTGGCCTGCACCGACGATCTTTCACTTTCATATTGTGCACAGCAACGTCCCCCAACCAGTGAGTATAACGTTTATTCTTGCAAAGTCACGTACTTCTTCAGATCTCTTGATAAAGCGAACTTTGATGATAGCCATACACTATATCTAGGATTCAATATATGTCTGTCTGTTATATTGCGGTGTTGAGAACATTGTAGTCTCTTTCCATGTCTTTAGACACACAACTATGTAAACCAAACCAGTAATGTAGGACTGTCTTTGTCCTTTCAGCTGCTGGTGATAATAACACTGAAGATACAACCGTCACTACCGTGGGTAAGGATGATGTAACGCAATGAAAACAATTACACAAGATACATAAGTCACGATAACTATCAAGGGACACAATCTAATACAATATTTTACGTATCATTGAATAGGGCAAACCCGACATACTCTAATACATTACACAAGAATATACATAATCATAGTACATATTCAGACAGTAGTAGTAGTAGTAGTAGTAGTAGTAGTAGTAGTAGTAGTAGTAGTAGTAGTAGTAGTAGTAGTAGTAGTAGTAGTAGTAGTAGTAGTAGTAGTAGTAGTAGTAGCAGTAGTAGCAGTAGCAGTAGTAGTAGTAGCAAGGTTGAATCGGAAAGTAACGTTTCTTACCTGGGTGACTAAATGTGAGTTAATTAGACATCCACAGAATAATTTGTGACTGTCTGTCGTCCGTATTTTATACCTATTTTAGCTATCATAGATAAACGCATTTACTGATTAAACTTACGATAACGTTGTAATTGTAGACTTGAGATTATATAATTTAGTTGTACCGAATCATCGATGGTAAATTTTATAATGGATGTCCACTTGTGAGCGTGCCACGAATGTATATGTGGCACGCGATTGTCTATGTCAGATGCTCATTATCAGTGTGACCCTTGGCAGGTTTAAGATAGTGGAACGTAGTTATTAGTATGTCATATGTCCAATTTCCAATAGCTTAAAATGTCATAAAGTATTTGTAAACTTTGTCCGTTTTCGCCATGTCAATGATTTGTCACAGTTTCATCGAGATTAACACTTGTCCTCATGATTTGAAAGTCAAAAGTAATCGAGTGATGTGAAATGATGATATTCAGTTCTAAATAATATAAGTGGACACCTTAAAGTGTGTTCAGAACACAGCAAACCTCAAAATTGTTTTGTCTTTTCTTAAATAGATCCAACAAACGTCACGTCAGGTACTGGGTGTGTTCAAGTGTGCTGTGCATTGTTGTTTTAACCGAGACAAGTCGTAAATGAATATATGTGAAATAATACCAAATCCATTCTTGTTGCAATATGTTTTGTTCTATACTAACTTGTGTTTTTACGTCACATAGAAACTAATAAATGCAGTGACTAATTATATAGTCTTTTTCGAAATTCGCCATATTATCTTACCTTATACTAAACAAAAAACGAAACTGCACACGTGTTACTGTATGTCCCAAACATACTCATATAGAACGAAATGTGTTGCTAGTGGACAAATTGGTTTATGGACGTAAAGAGCGTACACTAAAATAGGATTAGGCATTAAAGTGAGCTTGTACACCCTCCATACTCACCAGCATCACGCTGGGGTCACTTTTTGATTTCACAGGAACTAGCCAACTGCATTGGAGCTTTACAGTAACGCATATATCCACCCCCTTCTTGCATTCACAAGAGCTAGGCAACGTTGTCTCGCTGACAGCCTAACACCCGTGAACGCAGAATCAGGCAGCCTGCATCATTGTTATACCAACATGAGCCTCCAATACGTGCTCGATGGGATTGAGGACAGGTGATCTCGATGGCCGCTCTATGTCTTCAATACCAGCATTTTGCAGGACATTTAGCCATCTGCAGGTGCAATTGTGCCCAGCGTAAATGTCCATTACGGTTTGTTGGCCTGTGGCATAATCGGCGCAGTGTAATGACATCAATCACGAAAGAAAGGCAGCGCGCAAGCGGTTTCGTATGGATTGGTCAGTTACGTGATCCCGAAACGATGCGTTGACGTTGCGGTAAAAAAACGATGACGTAAATGGCGTAGCCGAATTTGATTGTCCTCAACATGTAACGTCACGAAAGGCCTTCCTGACCTGGGCCAATCAGATGGCGTACCCGTTTGATGCACATATGTCCTGAGGGTGTGAATTGTCCATCTACTGCATCTCATGGCACGTGCAACAGCCACAGTAGACTGATCAGCATGGCGCATGCGATTGCACGTTCTCGTTCAACATTTTTAAGGCGTGTCATGAACATGGTTTTTCTCTCAAGAACTGTTAACGTGTTTTTGTTAATCACCCAGCAAATTCTGCACACGTGTTGGTGGTTAGGCACATGGAATTGTGGTCACAGTGCTGGGTCGCGTTTTCACAAAAGAGCGTGCTGCATGCACCCCGCATGGTTCACCATAGTTGAAATAGGAGGATACATCAGGTTAGACCTGGCCTGGTCTTTATGATATTCGCCATATTAAGTGCATTTTAATACCCATTTTCAATATAATTTATTGCTCTAAGTATGAAGGCGTTCTTTGTAGTTCAGAACATATTGCTTATCTCTATATATTAACTGTTTGCATGTGAGATGTTTATTAAAGTTTATGTGCGGTGTAAACTAACATGATTAATTACAAAATGGAAATGGTTCCTTCCACCGCAGAGATGTTAACTTTATGATTATTATTCATCTGACTCTGCTTATCATTCAATGTGAGTCTAGTCCAAAAGAAGGAGTGAACAAGAAGTAGTCAAAACAAATTGAATATTGGATCGCACGTACTGGAATAAATGTATACACTATAAAGTGAACAGTTGTTTGGCCGCATAAATGCTAACAGTTTGGATAATCTTTAAATATATACATATTAACACAAGACAGCTACGACATAAATGTTGTCTCGATTATGCTGTGGTAATCTTTGTCTTCGAAGACAGTGGTGAGAAGGAGGGACAGGATATGTATTTTGAAATATAGAATTCCTTACACAAATCTGTCAGTAGTTAAACATACATAATGTTGGACTGTCCTTATTATAGGTCCTTTTTGAGTAACCCTAAGATCTGGTTTATCGTACAGAAGATGAGAGGATGAATGTTGCCACAAAGACATGTTATAGCTAGGACCACGATTTGGCAGGAAGGTTTCGTGTGATTTGCGTGTGATGTGTCATAATATCACTAAAGAAATCATGCAGAAATCATTTATTTCAGATGGTTAAATCAAGCCCTGTTCGTGAAGACACAGTCATACACCTCAGCACATGATGTGGGATGTTCTGTGACACACTGGATATGAAGGATTGATGGACAGTTGACGGATATTACTCACATCGGGACTTTCCTGTTTTCATTTAATTGATAATACATAACAAATACAGACAAGTCCATCACTATCACTGGCATTGATTCCAGATAATTCCTGACTGTCTGAAGACGCTTTCATATCTGTAATTATTCAAAACATAATACTACCGCAGTTGCTTGTATATGTTGGAAAATATACGCGTCATTTGTGTTGGTTTATTCAGCATATTATCATCTACCCTATCAAAACGCCACATCAGCAAACCAAAGTAATCATCTTGCATCACATAGTTGTTAGTGTTTGTTTCTAGCCGGGTTTTTTGTTTGAAAATGAAAATTGTACACATGCAAATTTCACGTCATACACCAATCATCTTTCAAGAGCAATCAACTACATGTATGGTCATAAGGATGTGCTTGTGGTGATGCACTCTCGAAACATTCATTATTGTCATTTCAACATTGATTGACTCCGATATATTTCCCAGTTTTTTCAATCGTAAATTAAAAATGAAGTTCCCCTAGTTTTTGAAGAGTATATATGCCATGTGCTACTATAAGGGTTTTTGGTCTGTCCGAACGTCTTTATCATAACGTTTACGGACGGACTTACAGTGAGATGTTGTTTACTAGAACAACGATTAAGAATGCGGGCATTCAATTCCATTGTTTGTCGTTTGACGTAAAGAGGTCCATGTGTAAACTTTGAGTGGAAACGTTCGGTGGATGCGTCAGTTCAAATCATCTTCTTGAGGAAGGATCATTAGATATAGGAAGAGTGGGAGGTGACAAAATCAAATTTGGTGCCATATGTTCTGTTTCGGAAGAATATGTTTTGTTTTCATAGAAAAATAGATACTCCTCTAAGTATACAAAAATGCTTGGGATAATACAGAAATTATACTGTTGAAACAGAGCGATAAAATATCAAATTAAATGTCATTTCACCTGGGAATACTGAACAGTTCATTTTTACTTATTACTTACTGTGTATTTAATTATGTATTTACAATTTATGGCCTGTATTCTTGTCCGAGTTATGTTTAGCCGACAGAACTGCTTATGTATATAAAAGTAAATAGTCTAACGGAGATTGCGTTGAATTACGACGAGGAAGGTAATGTCACGCTATTGATAGCTCATTGCCTATTTATATTGTTTCCGTTTTATTATTGTAATATATATTATGTGCATGTATATTATTAAACAGTGTTACATATATGTTCTGATAACTGTTGTCTTTAGGCATGCCGAGATTACTCATGTACGCCGTCAGGTTAGGATTGGATATGATTTGTATAGTGGATAATCCATGTGCTTAAATAGATCCTTAATGTTGAACGTGTAGTTTTGTATACATCACCAGGGTTATTTTTAAAATCCTGATTGGTCCTTTAAAAACCGACATCGTTTCACTGGATGTCAGAAACCCTAGCGGTTGAGATAAGAAACCACCTGGAAGGCTAATCATCGGACATATACAACACTAAATGGACATAGAATCAGATGTGTCTTGTTAATGTATCATTGACTGTTTGTTTGTTTCTCTATCCTCTCCACAAGTGAAAATAAAACTGTCCAGAAAGCATTGTGCAATTGATTTCTGCTTTGGGGAACTCATTACACCGCCAAAAGGAATCGTTCTACTCAAATGGGTAGACCTCGTCAGGGAATATTTTAAAAATAATTAGCAACCAACTCCATCCAAGCTTGCCTCAGAACGTTACAGCATCTTCCAGTATATGAAGAAATAATGCTGTACTGTAAAACGTTATTGCAGAAAACACATTATGAACGCTATCGGGTCCAATGATGTCACAAAGACCAAAGGCCCGATATACTATGTGTGTCGGTCTGTGCGTGGGTGTGAGCGTGGGTGTGAGAGTGGGTGTGAGCGTGTTCGTGCATGTATGTGCGTCTGAAAGAGTAAATTAGTTATGACATTTTCGCATAATTTCTTCAAATTGCCGTCGTCAGATAATCTAGTGATCTGTTTGGATTAACTGTATTCTTGGTTTCTCTATTTGTATTGTTTCTGAATAACTGATGATATCACAGAACGTCTTTGTTTGCCTTGATGCGAAATCTTGTGCGATTACGACTATATAATGATCACTTGATGTAGCCCACTTTCCCAATAGTTGTGCGTGCGACGTTAAATAAAGCAAATAACAACAACAACTTTCCCTTGTCCTGAACCCATGTGTGTGATTTCCAAAATACGCTTTGTCCGCAAACATTGTAAGCTAACTGATAACAGTCGATAGGGAAAGACAATTTCTCTAGAAACGAGATGACACATTTTTTTCACATAGTTTTCATCTTTGTAACTTTGTCGTGTTAACTGGTACAAACTGACATTTAAAAGAAAGTACACATCTGTTTCCAAAAATATTTTGAAAAAAGTTTTGGTTGTGTTACAATTCACAAGTATTGTGTCCGTGTTGGCCAAACACCACAGATGTTGAACCCGATTGGGACGTGGAGAATTAATGACATGCCCCGGGTTAATAACATGCCCCGAAATGGTCGATAAGGCCCAGATGCCGACTGCATGCAGTCGTCTCAACATTGTACCTGCTTGTTCGGTGACCCAACGCTGTTGATGCTGATGGCGTCACTGTGAGTATCCTGTTGCGCTGATGATCATCTTATTGCAGGGAGGTCAGTCTCGATCGTACAGTTCTGGGACCGTCTGAGTGGGTGAGTGAGTTTAGTTTTACGCCGCACTAAGCAATATTCCAGCTATATGGCGGAGGTCTGTAAATAATCGAGTCTGGACCAGACAATCCAGGGATCAGGAGCATGAGAATTGATCTATGCAAATTGGATACGATGACATGTGTCAATCAAGTCAGCGAGCCTGACCACCCGATCCCGTTAGTCGCCTATTCCCTCAATCATGGATTACTGAAGATCAAGTCCTACCCGGAGCTTCACGGGTGGGACCGTCAGGAGTCGAACCAGCCTGACTAACGCGTCTCATTTGTCTGATGGTCTGCTTTGTATAGCCGAACGTCCTGGCAATATACTCCTGTCTGGCACATTCCTATGGCTCGTTCTCACTCTGCTTCTGATAAACTAGGCACTAATAATCTTCCTTCTTCAATACTTATTCAGCAGTTGTCCAAAATATGTTTCACTGACACCACAGTATTGAAGCTTTCACAATCTGAAGACCTTGGACAAGAGGCAAACGGGCTTCCCTTCGCCACGTGAACATGAAATAAACATTGATAAACAAGTATAAAGAAAGCTCGGGAGTTTGGGTGGTTAGGATTGGAGATGGTCCTTATTTTACTCAGTAACCCGAACGTAACCCTGTTCGCCTGTGATGACACATTGCGCGAGCTGATTGGCATGGCTATAACCGATCTGGCGCGTGGCCCCCCGCTGAAGATAATTAGACAAAATAATGTTTTACCAGATTGTACAAATAAGAGGTTCACTGTCATTCGGAGGGCTGACAGTGTTCCCGAACAATCCAGATCGAGATCTGTTTATCCACTCTGTAACTGACCGAGTATCAAACACGCGACATTACTTACATAAACAATGGTGGTTCTGTTGTTGAGTATGTGGTGACAACTCACAACGATCTTCCTTCAATTTCAAATTTTAATTTAATACATTTTCTATCCTCTCTCTGTAATACATGCATCAACAAAAACATGTCGTGATACTTTTTAATTATTATCACTACGTTTTTACAATTGTATATGTACATATATAGTATAATTAGCCGAATTAAGTCAAAATGACTTGAATTTGTCACTATACTTATGAACATACATTCATTCAGTCACTCACTCAGTCTAAAACAAAAATTCTGAGCGAAACTAAACATTCTCGCCCATGGGCATGCCCATGAATTTAAATTTCGAGTTTTCGAATCATATATTCATGAGAACTGCACGTTTAAGTTTTTCAAATCCTTTGTCATAACGTGGCGACAGTGCGGAGAGTTTCTGGACTTTTGGGTGTCCAGAATTTAATTGTGACATGTTATTCATATTTCATTTTATTAAATCTTTCGATATAACACTTTAGGTAATGAATATTATTAGTATTTTATTTTATATATGTATGTGCGTGTATTCATATAAATATAACTACACATGAACATTCTTCACTGAGTAAACATTCATTTTAGAAGTGAAATAGTGTTGAACTAATTTGTCAGTACTGAGGCGTATAAAGGCGTATCCACTGAGCGTGAAACATAATGTTCTTTTAGCTGATCAAGCTGGAACAACAGACAAAGTCGTCACTTTACGAATTAAACACACATTGCTGTCAACTGAAGCAGATGGAAAGTTTCTAACTGAGACCAGACAAGTTGATGCAGAGACACATACCTTCGTGGGGATGGGAACAGAGCTTCTTGCGTCATTGTTTAGTAAATGTTTTGACAAATGAAGTGTGTATACATATAATTGTCTCTGAAATCCCTTTAAGTCCCATTATATCTGACATGGGAGTGGCAAAGTGTTCACTATCTCGTGAATCACTATATATGTGGATATTTAATGTTCAAGTTGTGCATGACTTAACATTAGTATTTCAATTGATAGATTAACAATAATGACAGGTGTTTGATTGTATAAAGCGATCTCACTGATATACGTATGTACAACCATACAATATAAGCACTGCACACGACAACCAATTTAATAAGACGCAAATTTCTTGCAGTCAGTAAGCAGCGAACCAACACTTTATTACTCCAACAACCACTTACCGTCTTTTAAAACGATTCCTTTGTGCTTGTAATTTGAAACCAAATATAAGGATGTTCACCAATTTAGTATATACAATTTTAGGTAAACAGATTTAGTACTTTAACTGAATTGAAGGACGATAAACAGATGCCATTAAGGCAGGGAGCCGACTGATGACATTTAGATGTTAATGTGGAGTCACTGAGAGTTGTAGCTTTGGTAAAGATGTCATTCATGAAATATATATAACCATACGTTATTATTCTTTATGACAACCAAGAAGTATATGGGCTATAACCTAGCTATTATGTATATGTAAGTTCTGTTTTCAGTTTGTACGTCCTCAAACTGATGATCAGTTGCAGGTGATCTCCAGCCCATGTTTATATTGTACTGTCCATAATCAATGTTTAACTTTACAGTTACATGCTAGTTTTACTTCTCTGTCTGTGATAATGTGTTATGTTACTGTTCTTTGTTGACAGGTTTTTATAATTTAATTGCGTTTATAACGAATTCATAACTTTTTACAATCACGATATGGCTGAAATATTGCCGATGTGACTATAAATCTTAACACAATCACTCACTCACTCAAACTGATGAACATACTTTAAGCAATGACAGTTCTACAATTTGTGCTTGAAAGGAAAAAGTTCATCTGTTAAATAAATGAAATAGATTGATAATCTATGTCGAGTTTAACCCGTGTTATAGGCGCTCAAAACTCCGTTGTGTAGAGAAGTAGAAGTAAATGCTTCGAGTTATCCAAGGTTCAACGCAATCACAATATGCAGGGACCAAGATATTACTTTGTTCTCTTGTCGAGGATCTATTCACAGTAACCTGTACTACTTACGTTGTAATTATCAGTATACACCAGTCATGCGTATCAAAGCATCGTATCAACCAACACAATCGGTTGCAGTAAACAACGCTATGTACACATGTTATATATACAGATTACTAGGGTGTGACGTGTTAGTGGTTGGTCTTCAAACGCAGATGTTCCAGTAAACTCAACAGGGCCACGGAAAGTGTTTCGTGACATGTATCAAGAGCAGAATCTGGAGAGGTACAAGAACGCCAGAAGCCAACTGGAGACACGACACGTATAGGTGTTTCATCACAAGGAACCCTCCACATATCCCATTGGAAATGACGTCCCCGAGGTGCGAGAACATCTGAACATGTTATGCACTACGATGATGCACGCAGGTTAACATAGAGGCAGTTAAACATTGAGACAAACATTCGTAAACGTGTTCAAATATTACTCTGATAGATATGCGTGCTTAGATACGTCTGTGAATTTATTGTTTACAAATATTATATTTATTAATCTCGGGCATAATGTTATATCGTATACAGTATGTTTTAATTCATGTGCATAATACTGTTACCGTGCTAAAAATATTCAATTATATGTTATATGTATTTGCTTAATTTTAGCACGATGCTAAAATTAAGCAAATATATATTTAAAATATAATTGATTATTTTAGCACGGTAACAATACTATACCAGGTGATATCTACACTGGCATCTGGATTTCCACAAAAAGTGAAAGAAACAGGTTGGAATGTCACAACAGGATGTGGATTATTTAGAGTGGAGAGATTACCTTGTGGTCCTGTTTCATTGGAATGTGTCAAATCCCACTCTTTCTTCCAGGCAGCTGCAAGGAGGTACCGCGGCTGTGTTCCAACAGGATGAACTCCCTCACACACCAGTGGAAGTTCCTTCATTTAGGTAGGAATACATTTAACTTAATTATACTTAAATCATAATCACAGTTGAAACAGTGGTACTGAACTTATGACGATCAAGTAGAGCTTCGTAACAGTGCTAAAATGTCGGCCAGGTTGTGAACTACGATACGATTGAAGCATTTCCCATTGAAGGAGAGCCTATTTAACATTTGATACATGGTCGGACCCAGTAGGTTTAACAAGTCCTTATTCACAAAGACGTGTGCTTCTAAAGGGAGGAGTATCCACAGAGTCTAAAAGTATGTGTTCCATAGTATACTGGCATTGACAAGGAATACACACATGCGCCTTTGAAAGGAAAGGATAAGTAAAATGTGAATGTTCTATACGACATCGTCATAAGAACAACATCATTTCTTCTCTAGTTGTTACTGATGATGTTAGCAGTTATGGTCGGTTGAATGTCATGTAGCTTGTTCGTGGTTTGTTGATCCCGAGTTGACTGCCAACATTGATCAACATATTGCCTTCTAACAGACTTGCAGGAAACACACGTTTAGACTGGGTGGATACTGCTCTGATACGTGAAACCTATTTTAATGTTTCTACATATAAAAAACTTTTTCGTTTTTGAAATAAATTGGTCTTTATGGAAAGATATAGACTAACGAATAGTCCCTGAATATATACAATTTTGATAGTAACAAATAAACCCATTTATATTGAAAAGGAGCCCCAGTGAGTGTTACTGCTTGTCATTTGCCCTTGCTCAGACTTACTCAGACTGGTCTACTATTGAGTGAATCATACACAAGAGCGTCACCGTGGGACCGGTAGACTAACGCTTAGTCTCTGAATATATATATAATTTTGATTGTAACAAATAAACCAATTAAAACTGAAAATGAGCCTCAGGGAGACCAGAGATTCAGAACCTAGGGAAATCTAGACTTGCTCCATTTAGGGCTTTAGCATTGATGGGAGGGCTAGGCTGTAGGGAAAATAAATGTGGTCCAGGGACTGTGAGACAGACTAGGAAATATATAGCTTTGGGCAAAATTTGCAGTTATTGCTTTATCTGTGATTAGTGACTGATATTATAAATTGACTTTGAGGTCATCCTTTTTAGTATTGTTCGTTTTAAGCGCACGTGTTGAAATTCATAGTTACTGGTTCTCGTCGTGAATAGCTGGCAAATTTTCTGATCTGGTCATTCATCCATCCATCCATCCATCCATCCATCCATTCATTCATTCCATACTAGGCCACACGAAAGAACGTTGCAATAAGGAAATCATAATGTGTACCCGAACTGTGTATTTAGCAAATCAAAACTATTACAGTAGTTTTCTTTCTCTGAACCTTTTGCATTATCATATTTCCACTCAACTGTCTATCTTTCCTTTTCCATTGTAAATACTCTGAAATTTGTTATTGTAAATACTCTTGTCCCCGATCCTTGACGACCCGTGAAGGTCCGTGTTAGAATGAACCTTCAGTAACCCATGCTTGTCGTAAGAGGCGACTAACGGGATCGGGTGATCAGGCTCACTGGCTTGGTTGATACATGTCATCGGTTCCCAATTGCGCAGATCGATGTTCATGCTGTTGATCACTGGATTGTCTGGTCCAGACTCGATTATTGACAGACCGCCACCATATAGCAGGAATATTACTGAGTGTGGCGTTAAACTAAACTCACTCACTCACCCGATCCTTTTCACTTTGTGAGTAAAATATGTTTAAACTAACATTACACACTGTACACAAAGTCAGATGTTTAACGCATGTGCTACGTTTCGGGACTGCACGTGTGACACGTTTGTGCATATGCATCTCGATTAACTGTGTGGAGCACAGAAAAGTCAAAACTGCTGTCCATTTGGGAGACTTAATTGTCACGCGTCACAGCACCAAGGCAGGACAGGCGGATACGGGTGATCCATCTCCGGTTATGGTAATAGAGATCAGATTCTCGGACTAATGGCAATTCGTTTCTTAAAAGTCACGGCCCAGGGTTGACATTCCAACAGGAACACAGGTAGGGTTGGTAGGTAGGGCATCAGCCTGCAAATTCGCGGTATCTCGCGTCTTCAGATGTGTGAGATAAAATGGAGCGAGGTGTACGCCGTGTGCCAGATAACGTTCGTGGTTTGACAGCAGAGCTACAGAGAATATGGCAAGCCATTCTACAAGCCTTCCACACCCATTTGATAGACACATCTGTTATTGAATGTGTGACCGGTTGCTTGGTCCCTGCACCGCATTTAGACTGGCCATGAACATTAACCATGATGTTCAGTCTTGTTATGACCCTAAAATCCACCTAATAAAGTTTACATGAAATCTTTTCATTATTGTTATGTTTTAACATTCAAAAATAATTTTAACAATGCAAAGTTTCCTTTTGTGGCTTGTATATGTATCGGATCTTGTTCATGACGGGAACAACAGCACCAACTGTCACGCCTTCTAAACCGACACCTAAAATACAGATCATGGTACTTGATAGTAATATACCACAGGAAGACGCTCATGTACATAAAATAAACCTGCATACACGTCAAGACAATATTTATTCTTGGTTCGTCGCATATTCTTTTAACTATTGTATGTTGCTAAATACTAGTATATCAGAGGCAGCTATCCGACACCTTGTACATTCATCCATGTCCGAACTTGTTAAATCGTCTAACAAGCAGAAGTTCAATCAGAGAAGTTCCATTGTTTACATTATAAGCCATCCACGTTCCAACTTGTTAAACACGCCCATTGTCTATACAGGTGATTACTCAGGCAGAGGATTGAGTACATGTTCAACCTACCTAGTAATCTGGGTTTTTCCTTACCACTCCTGCTGCCAGTTACAATACAATGGAAAGGGCGTCAAGTACAGAACGTTGCAATCTAGTATTTTAAGAAATGTGTGCACATTCATTTCATCCTGCGAGACGGCTGGAAACACCACATATGGCTGGTACACGCCATCTGGAAGACCCTCCATACACACCAATCGGAGTGCCTTCATATAGATAGGATGGGAACACCTTTTACACGTCACATGAATCTGGGACATTGACCTTCCTAGCCATTTCGGTCCAAGTCATCCAAACCCGAGTTTACTTGTCTGTCAAATTCATGAAGCATAACAATGAGATAATGATTTGATTATTGTCCTAATTACACGGTTTCTGTTTACACACTGCAGTTATTACACAATCTGAACCAGACCCTGTTTAGTGCTGTCCCCATCTCAAACAGGTTGCATGTCTATTGTTAATTGTCAGAAATGTTTAGACTTTTCCAATCTCAAACAGGTTGTATGAATATTATTAATTCTTAGACATGTTTAGTCTTTTCCCATCTCAGACAGGTTGTATGAATATTGTTAATTGTTAGAAACTTTTAGTCTTTTCCCATCTCAAACAGGTTGTATGCCTATTGTTAATTGTTAGAAATGTTTAGTCTTTTCCCATCTCAAACTGGTTGTATGCCTATTGTTAATTGTTAGAAATGTTTAGTGTTGTCCTCGTCTAAAACAGGTTGCATGCCTATTGTTAATTGTTAGACATGTTTAGTCTTTTCCCATCTCAAACAGGTTGTATGAATATTGTTAATTGTTAGAAATGTTTAGTGTTGTCCCTGTCTCAAACAGGTTGTATGACTATTGTTAATTGTTAGAAATGTTTAGTCTTTTCCCATCTCAAACAGGTTGTATGAATATTGTTAATTGTTAGAAATGTTTAGTCTTTTCCCATCTCAAACAGGTTGTATGAATGTTGTTAATTGTTAGAAATGTTTAGTGTTGTCCCTCGTCTAAAACAGGTTGTATGCCTATTGTTAATTGTTAGAAATGTTTAGTCTTTTCCAATTCAAACAGGTTGTATGAATGTTGTTAATTGTTAGAAATGTTTAGTCTTTGGCCCTCGTCTCCAAACAGGTTGTATGCCTATTGTTAATTGTTAGAAATGTTTAGTCTTTTCCCATCTCAAACAGGTTGTATGAATGTTGTTAATTGTTAGAAATGTTTTAGTGTTGGTCCCCCGTTTCAAACAGGTTGCATGCCTATTGTTAATTGTTAGAAATGTTTAGTCTTTTCCCATCTCAAACAGGTTGTATGAATGTTGTTAATTGTTAGAAATGTTTAGTGTTGTCCCTCGTCTAAAACAGGTTGTATGCCTATTGTTAATTGTTAGAAATGTTTAGTCTTTTCCAATCTCAAACAGGTTGTATGAATGTTGTTAATTGTTAGAAATGTTTAGTGTTGGCCCTCGTCTCTAAAACAGGTTGTATGCCTATTGTTAAATGTTAGAAATGTTTAGTCTTTTCCCATCTCAAACAGGTTGTATGAATGTTGTTAATTGTTAGAAATGTTTAGTGTTGGCCCTCGTTTTAAACAGGTTGCATGCCTATTGTTAATTGTTAGAAATGTTTAGTCTTTTCCCATCTCAAACAGGTTGTATGAATGTTGTTAATTGTTAGAAATGTTTAGTGTTGTCCCTCGTCTAAAACAGGTTGTATGAATATTGTTAATTGTTAGAAACTTTTAGTCTTTTTCCCATCTCAAACAGGTTGTATGCCTATTTTTAATTGTTAGAAACTTTTAGTCTTTTCCCATCTCAAACAGGTTGTATGCCTATTGTTAATTGTTAGAAATGTTTAGTCTTTTCCCATCTCAAACTGGTTGTATGCCTATTGTTAATTGTTAGAAATGTTTAGTCTTTTCCCATCTCAAACAGGTTGTATGCCTATTGTTAATTGTTAGAAATGTTTAGTCTTTTCCCATCTCAAACAGGTTGTATGAATGTTGTTAATTGTTAGAAATGTTTAGTGTTGTCCCTCGTCTAAAACAGGTTGTATGAATATTGTTAATTGTTAGAAACTTTTAGTCTTTTCCCATCTCAAACAGGTTGTATGCCTATTTTTAATTGTTAGAAACTTTTAGTCTTTTCCCATCTCAAACAGGTTGTATGCCTATTGTTAATTGTTAGAAATGTTTAGTCTTTTCCCATCTCAAACTGGTTGTATGCCTATTGTTAATTGTTAGAAATGTTTAGTCTTTTCCCATCTCAAACAGGTTGTATGCCTATTGTTAATTGTTAGAAATGTTTAGTCTTTTCCCATCTCAAACAGGTTGTATGAATGTTGTTAATTGTTAGAAATGTTTAGTGTTGTCCTCGTCTAAAACAGGTTGCATGCCTATTGTTAATTGTTAGACATGTTTAGTCTTTTCCCATCTCAAACAGGTTGTATGAATATTGTTAATTGTTAGAAATGTTTAGTCTTTTCCCATCTCAAACAGGTTGTATGAATGTTGTTAATTGTTAGAAATGTTTAGTGTTGGCCCTCGTTTTAAACAGGTTGTATGTCTATTGTTAATTGTTAGAAATGTTTAGTCTTTTCCCATCTCAAACAGGTTGTATGCCTATTGTTAATTGTTAGAAATGTTTAGTCTTTTCCCATCTCAAACAGGTTGTATGAATGTTGTTAATTGTTAGAAATGTTTAGTGTTGTCCCTCGTCTCAAACAGGTTGTATGCCTATTGTTAATTGTTAGAAATGTTTAGTCTTTTCCCATCTCAAACAGGTTGTATGAATGTTATTAATTGTTAGAAATGTTTAGTATTGTCCCTCGTCTCAAACAGATTGTATCAATATTGTTAATTGTTTGAAATGTTTAGTCTTTTCCCATCTAAAACATCTTAATTGTTAGAAATGTGCAAAATTGTTCTAGAAGGTGTAATCTTCAGTACTACTTTGTAATAAGTGCATGATTGAGTGAGTCTAATCACATCTCAGTTCGGACCCTGAAGTGGAATTTGTGCATAAAACGTTATGCGACCCCCGAGAATAGCCTGTATACATTCAATCGTTACCTACTGGTTGTCCTGTTGAAGACTCTGGCCTAACCCGGTCAGTCCCGCCTTTCAGTCTGATCAGAAAGCAAATTGAAAGTCATTAGTAAATGGCAGATACTTTGGAACGAACGAATGAACTGCCTAAATAGAGTATCCGAAATATTGGGAGTTACTGGCCTTTTAGTTGTAGAACATAGTCACAATTAGCATCACCCAGCGCCTGCTGTGGTCCAATTTCGACTCGGTATTAGTAACTATGAAAGTGTCTTAAAAAGTTGTCAGAATTTCTCCCTTTGATGTAAGTGGATCCTGTCTTGTTTCAAATACACGCTATCACGTAATATTAACACTCTCGCAACTTGTCTTCGTTTGTCTGTATGTACATCCTTGGCCTCATCTTCATGTTTTGTTCCAGAGACCAGTTCGATGGCAGGAGTACTGCTGACAACAGACCAGGAAGGTGAGCTCCAACACAGGATGACTTCTAAACATTTACTTTATCTTGCTTATCGTAAGAACAATAGCATCGCTTAGAAGAAAAAAGACTACACCCTGTCTTGTTGCTTATAAATTTCGACTTTTCATGTTTTGATACGTTTTTGTTTTGTTCCAGAGATCTGTTCGATGGTAGAAGTACTTCTGACAACAGACCAGAAAGGTGAGCTCCAACACAGGATGACCTCTAAACATTCACTTTATCTTGCTTATCGTAAGAACAATAGCATCGCTTAGAAGAAAAAAGTCACCATACCCTGTCTTGTTGTTTATAAATTTCGACTTTTCATGTTTTGATACGTTTTCGTTTTGTTCCAGAGATCTGTTCGATGGTAGGAGCACTTCTGACAACAGACCAGGAAGGTGAGCTCCAACACAGGATGACCTCTAAACATTCACTTTATCTTGCTTATCGTAAGAACAATAGCATCGCTTAGAAGAAAAAAGTCACCATACCCTGTCTTGTTGTTTATCAAATTTCGACTTTTATGTTTTGATACGTTTTGTTTTGTTCCAGAGATCTGTTCGATGGTAGAAGTACTTCTGACAACAGACCAGGAGGGTGAGCTCCAACACAGGATGACCTCTAAACATTTACTTTATCTTGCTTATCGTAAGAACAATAGCATCGCTTAGAAGAAAAAAGACTACACCCTGTCTTGTTGTTTATAAATTTCGACTGTTTATGTTTTAATACGTTTTTGTTTTTGTTCAGAGATCTGTTCGATGGCAGGAGTACTTCTGACAACAGACCAGGAAGGGTGAGCTCCAACACAGGATGACCTCTAAACATTCACTTTATCTTGCTTATCGTAAGAACAATAGCATCGCTTAGAAGAAAAAGTCAGCCCTGTCTTGTTGTTTTATAAATTTCGACTTTTCATGTTTTGATACGTTTTTGTTTTGTTCCAGAGATCTGTTCGATGGTAGAAGTACTTCTGACAACAGACCAGGAAGGTGAGCTCCAACACAGGATGACCTCTAAACATTCACTTTATCTTGCTTATCGTAAGAACAATAGCATCGCTTAGAAGAAAAAAGTCAGTATACCCTGTCTTGTTAACATATGTTCTATTTGGGATTACACTTTCTCAGTAAAGTACAGATTCTAGTTCTTTTGGGGGGTTGAGTCCCATCCGGGATTCGAACCCACACCCTCAGAGTCAGGCACCTAATCGCCAGCACACAAAAGTCAGACGCCTAGACCGCTCTTCCACAAAATGGAAGTCGGACAACTGGTACTCACAAAAAAGTACAAGAATCAGTACTTTTACTGAGAAAGTGTAATCCCAAATAGAAACATATGTTACATTTGACCACTTTCTAAAATTGCATTGTGTATTTCATAGCTTTTGGCCTATGGAGCCGTGCCAATTAACACTTATCAGAGGGTGCACAAAGTCCGCAGTCTAGACTACCAGCTGTCCGACTTCCATTTATGTGGAAGCCGCGGTGGCTGAGCGGTCTAGGCGTCTGACTTTGTGTGCTGGCGATTAGGTGCCTGACTCTGAGGGTGTGGGTTCGAATCCCTGAAAGGGACTCCAACCCAAAAGAAGTCTAGAATCTGTACTTTACTGAGAAAGTGTAATCCCAAATAGAACATATGTTACATTTGACCGCTTTCTAAAATGGCATTGAGTATTTCATACCCTGTCTTTTTGTTTATAAATTTCGAGTTTTCATCTTTTGATTCGTTTTTTGTTTTGTTCCAGAGATCTGTTCGATGGTAGGAGTACTTCTGACAACAGACCAGGAAGGTGAGCTCTAACACAGGATGACATCTCAACCTTTACTTCATCTTGCAACTCAGTTAAAAGAAAGAAAATCATCTTTCTTTGTCTAAACATTCATAAATAGTTTTTATATTTTTATGGTTATCACTTATTTGTTTATGGTTGAATGGGTTTATGTTTCTATCTAGAGAGCTACATGAAGGCAGGGATGTCAATGACCACCGTCTCAGAGGGTGAGTTCTATCAAAATAGTCCGTTTGGGTTCAAATGAGAACGCGACAAATGATTAAATAACTCGAAATTTGCATCAGGGGTGACAAACGGCTGATAGAACAGCGCCTGACCAGCTAGGGTCATCTCACCTGGCTGTGCTTAGTTGCTCCTGAATGTGTGTGCTGGGGTTGGTCCACCAGCCGTTTGTCACCCTCGGTGTGAAGCGTGAAAATAGCACAACATTACATGATAGTTTTCATAAACAACTTTTTCCGCGATCGATTAATAAATGTCAGATTTCCAGATCCTGTTGGGTACAGAGATTTTCAGGACCATGAGTCTTATTTATGTTTTGTGCACTTATCCCTATTTCGCAATATTTGATCATTCGTCGTTCTCATTTGAACCCAAACACAGGATGAATTTTATTTGGAACAATATTACTAACTTACCTCAGTTGGATAATCGGAAATAGATAGCATGAGAATGTTCTTGTTTTTTCTTTGCCCAGATATTCGTAAAAATACGGTTTTTGTGTCTAGAGAGCTACACAAAGGGAGGAAAACTCAGCTGGACTGAACTTACTTTCCGAAAAACAAAACAAATTATCAATGAAAAAAGTAAACGGCTGTGGACTACATAATGTATTTTGGGCTTCAAATCCAGAAACATTATATAACGACTATAATGGTCTTGTTGGTTTAACAAAGTTTTCAAGAATAAAATCCGTTTGTGTTTCTACTCTTAGAGAACAGGAAGTGCAGGATGGTGATTCTGACAGAACAGCAAGGCGGTGGAGTGGTAATGGCAGACATTTGCAACGTGAAGCGTCAGGGGTCACGTTCTTATATTAACGCCGTCACGCCGGTTTCGATTCTCTACATGGGTACAATGTTCGGAGCCAAAATCCTCGGTGTGGTTTTTCAAGACTATTGTCATAGGCGACTTAATCAAGACTCATCCAGAAATTCACTGATTTTCTTCAGCGTTTTTAAAGAATATGACACAGGAACGTTTGAATGAGTATTGTTTACGTTTTCTATCTCGAGAGCTACATTTACCGCTGGCGTCATATGCATATATCATGGGTTCTAGAGCTACATTTACCGCTGGCGTCATATGCATATATCATGGGTCCAACTTAATTTCTTTTTCTAGATTTCTTGAAGAACGCAGGAAGATGGCAGAAAGCAAGGCTAGGAGGCAGTTACGTTCGCGGACGTCTCGGGAATCAACTTCCTTTCTCCTGAAACACAAACGTACAATTATTGGTACAAGCTTTGCAGTGGGTGCTGTTGTTGGACTGGCTGCCGTCGTCGGAATTCTAGCTAGTGGAAACACTGAACCTGTAACAACAACGATACCACCGACTACAACGTCACTCCCTCCATTTCTGTCAATGTCAAACGTGTCCTTCTTTCAAGGAGAAGGTGATCTGTATCTCCCGTGCAGGATATCTGGAGACCAAATAATATTTGAGGTGTTATTTTTCAAAGATGGTGTCCAAGTGAAGGACGGGTTTAGTATTGAAGTCAGTGGGAGACTGTATACACTGACGAAGAAAGGAGCCACATGTTCAGACTCGGGACAGTATGAGTGTCGGGCGACGGGGGACTTTGGCACCCTCAACAGAACATCCATGGTAAACATATCTTGTAAGTACATATTTACCATTCCCTGGATAACGATCTCCTAACTGTGTAGAATCCCAATGCTCATTAATTGAATAACACTACGAGGATAACATGTTATCCGACATAACTACTATTCGGCACAGGCTATTTGTGTTGAATTATACATCCTAAATAGACCTATTGAAAAGTACTTTCTCATACTGTTTACCCGTGAAGATCCGGGTTAGAATTGATCTTCAGTAACCCATGTTGTCGTAAGAGGCGACTAACGGGATCGGGTGGTCAGGCTCGCTGACTTGGTTGACACATGTCATCGTATCCCAATTGCGTAGATTGATGCTCATGATGTTGATCACTGGATTGTCTGGTCCAGACAATCCATTGATCATGGGGAACCTGTAACGTCCAAGAGGTTGATGAGAATCAATGCTGGCAATATAACGTTTTATAAAAAAAGAAGACTCGTTTCCAATAATATGTATGAATACATTTTCCTAATAGTATTTTAATATTTGTAAAACCTGTCCTGGGTATAGGTTACTTGTGTAGTATGTAAAGGATTATTTCAGTGTTTTGTTCTATTTCTTACAGCGAAGCCATGTAACCCTACGCTGGAGGATGCATGGCAGATCATTTTGAAAAACATTTCAATTAATCCAAACAGTACGACTCAGCAAGAATGCTCGTCCTCCTCCGTGCACTGTGAAGTGCCACAAGCATGTAATGGAACTTCAGGCGATGCTGACCCGTGCTGCTACCTCATAGATAATGCAGGGAAAACACTGCATCTGAAAGGATGTGAGAACGTCACCTTTGCAGCAGGTACATACGAAACGAGTGAGTGACTTAAAATTTATAGTCACATTGATAATATTTCAGCCATATCGTGACTTCAAAAGTTCTAAATTCATAATAAACGCAATTGAATTATAAAAACCTGTCAACGAAAGACATTAAAACTGGAATATCACAAGATCAAAAATTAAAACTAGCATCTCTCTCTAAAATTGGATTTCAAATTAGGACAATACAGTATAAAAATGGGCTTTAGATCGCCAACAACTGAAGGTAGATCAGGGCTATAGATCGCCAACAACTGAAGGTAGATCAGGGCTATAGATCGCCAACAACTGAAGGTAGATCACCTCACTAGGGACCAGGGGGACCTACAGTGTCTTTGCTACCTGCATGGACCCTAGTTGGTTTTACACAATCCCACTCTGATGTCAGCGATTGTAGATAAATCTAGCCATAAGTTAAAATAGCATATATCCTACGATTAAATAGTGTGGTAGGTTTTAATTTACCTTGAATGTTTTGTGACTTACGTATCCTCTCAGGAGGACGGATACCCAACGACTACACAGTACTAAAACTGACAAAATTCATTATGCCTGTAGATAAGTAGCGCGGGGTGGTTTATACTGAAGTCTTCTACGTTAATGACAGCTTATCGACCTGTATCTATAACAGGTAGCGCATGGTCACTGATGTCCGACGTCCGGTTCAGTTGACGTTGGGAATCAGCCATCCCAAGATAACACTAGAATCAGAGTTTATTTCCAGTAAAAGGTCATAGGCCCAAAATACATTAAAAAATACCGAGATAACAATACAGTCCCCCTCACGGGGATGTAACCACCCAGCGTTCACAATCTGCTTGTAGTTACTTGTACATCTTCCACACTTTGACTGGAGTCCCATACCAGGAACATTACTGCGACATAAACTCGATCGTACTTATTTGCTTATTTCGAATTTTAGCAGTGTTTTCTAAAACATTATTCAGTGAGTATGTTATTTTTACCTACATATGTCCATTTTCCTTACTGTTTGAGATGTGTGAAGCACATTTCGTGTGTCCTCTGCCGTGATATTGCTGGAATATTGGTAAAAGCGACATAAAACCATACTCACTCACTCATTACTGTTGGAGGTTGATAACTGTTCACACAAGCCTGGTGTATAATGATTTTAGGAGGGCTGCGACAGTTGTGTTTGTTGAGCTACATAACGGCGGTCTGTAAATATGTGGGTTGGAACCAAACAACCCGCTGATTGACATCAGGAGCATATATCTCCACAAAGATGACATACATGAACCACGTCAGAGAGTCTGACAACCAGGTAGTCGCTTCTTTTGATGAGAATTGTATGCTGAGGATCGTTCTTCACAGGTACATCAGGAGTTTTGACCAGCACTGTAATGCTTTATGAAGACTTTATGGTGTATCATTGCTGATCTTGTTGACATGTCTTTTTCAGAAGAAATAGCAATATTAGTTTAAACACTTTGAATAGTTCCGGGGCCATCGTAATCGATGCTAAGATATTGACTATCAGAATCATTTATGCAACCTGTACTTATATCCACCACAGTCATATCCGTTGATGGAACCTCCTCCGTGGGTGTAGTGGTTAGAGCGTCCGCCCGGAGAACGAAATATCGCGGGTTCGATCCCCGACCGCGTCATACCAAAAGACGTTAAAATATGGTACTTGTTGGTCCCTGCCTGGCGCTCGGCATTAATGGGTACAACAAGGAGTGGTCGTCTCGGAGTCAGTATACTGTGTCTGAGTGGGGTATCCATGCTTCACTGCGGCATGGTATCTCAGTGGAGCTAACACTATAAAACCAGCTTAAGTCTGGGCTAGTACAAGCAGCCGCACATACACATACACACGCATGCACGTCGTCATATGAGCGAAATATTCTCAAGTACGACGTTAAACCAAATTTCACCTCACCTCTCTTCATATCCGTTGACTGTGTGTGTGTCAGTCCCTGTTAGAAATGTGTTTGTTACAGACGTGTCCCCATGTGACTGTACAGCTGGCCGTGTAGCTGTCCCCAGACCCACCACCTACCCCGACAACTGTAACCTGTACTACACGTGTAGTGGGGGAGTCAAACAAGACGCCACGTGTACCGGAAGTGACATCTTCAGTGCCGACCCCAGCACGCAGGCGTGCACCGCCAATCCGGGTGACAGCTACTGTGCCAAGGTTAACGGTACGTAGAGATTTAACAAATGTCCAACTAAACCGTTATAGTGAATACTCGCAGTTTTAGTATTCAGTTTGAGTTATTGATTAAAACTTAATTCCAAAAAGGTCACTACAGCATAGATAACAGAGACAATTATTGATATTCAGTGTTACATCATACATAGACACTTGTTATTAATCTGTAAAAACTGATGTGATAAGGTTGTTATTCCACAGCCGGTGAAATCAAGACATGCTCATCTCCCGCTGGTTGACACAGAGTGAGACAGTGTGAGGTCCTACTGGCGCCAGATGTATGGCTTATACTGAGTGGCCAGACACCCATCCATGTATACAGACACGCATACCCAGTCAAGGAATTTTTACCACATTGTTATATGAAAAGACACATTTTGTTATATCGTGTTGTTAGTTTACAAAATAATATCCCTTTGATCGAATATAAATTGTTATGAAAAATGTTTCCAAGGGAATGCTTTTTTTTCCTAAGCTGACTTAAAACTTTGGCTAAAATATAGAAGATTTACTATACTCTTGTAGGTGCCACCTTTACAGGAAACATTCATTTTAAATCTAGCAAAACCTTAGAAATTGTTTTAGATAGTATTTACTCTCCAATGGTTGCTTGTTACAAACGTAGTTCGGGAAACTTTGATCGTTACGCAAGTCCAGGAAAACACACAACCTAGACAACGTAGTTTGGGGAAACTTTGATCGATTCTTCTTTCTGTCTTTTGATTCAGTGTCCTTCACCTTACTGATACACTCGAACAGGTTTGGGTGGGACTTTCCAAGGGACCGGTTCCAGCCCTCCAAGCAGTGAGCGAAATAGCCACTGGCCCGCTAGCCCGTGGCTAGTAAAAATCCAGTCGGGCCAGTACTTGCTAGTGAATTTTCATGGGGTCATTTAGTAAATATATCACTCTCTCCGACTTGTTAGTTTGTAAAACACTTTTTAATCATGCTAGATTATGGCCTCAAAAAATGTTCATCATATTAGCAGCTTAATGATGAAACCCGTGTCATTCCCTCAATATCTTGTTCTCATCTAGTTTTGTAATCTTTTGCTTAGTTTCTACATTCAAATTTCAGGCTAGTGAAATATTTTGTGGGCTAGTAACTTTCAGACATGGCTAGCTCGACTGGCTGGGTTAGTCCCACTAATTAACCAGAAGAACAAAAGGATAAAGGTGGATTAGAGAGAAACGAGTCTGTTTATTATATTAAAGATAATTAATAGAGAAAACTAATTAACCAGAAGAACAAAAGGATTAAAGGTAGATTAGAGAGAAACAGTCTGTTCGCTGTTTTTAATTGATAGTGAGTGAGTGAGTGAGTGAGTTTAATTTTACGCCGCACTCAGCAATATTCCAGCTAATATTCGAGTCAGGACCAGACAACCCAGTGATCAACAGCATGAACATCGATCTGCGCAATTGGGAACCGATGACATGTGTCAACCAAGCCAGCGAGCCTGACCACCCGATCCCGTTAGTCGCCTCTTACGACAAGCATAGCCTTTTGTGGCAAGCGTGGGTTGCTGAAGACCTATTCTACCCTGGATCTTCACGGGTCTTTTAATTGATAGGTAACAATAAGAAAACAGTAAGTAACAAAAACATAAGAATGTCCATATAACAAGGATGAATCACGCAGTCAGTTTATCAAAACAACTCAAACAAAAAACCGAAGAGACACACACACTAAAAAAAACAAGACACAAAAACATCAAGCCCTTCCATTTTTTCTTCTGGGGAGGTAGGGTCAAGTATTATCTATCGCTTTCTCATTCTGCCTACACGGTTGGGACCAACAGACCATAACTTGTGTTGTTTTTAGCTGTAGGCAGAATGAGATGTAGGCAGAATGAGAGGACACCGGAAACTTTGATCATTACGCAAGTCCAGGAAAAAACCCAGACAGCGTAGTTCTGGAAGGTTTCATCGTTACGCAAGTCCAGGATAAGAAAAACAGACAGCCTAGTTCTGGAAGGTTTCATCGTTACGCAAGTCCAGGAAAAAACACACAACCTAGACAACGCAGTTCAGGAAGGTTTCATCGTTATGCAAGTCTAGGGGAAAAACAAACAGCGTAGTTCTGGAAGGTTAGATCGTAACGCAAGTCCGGGAAAAAACACACAACCTAGACAACGTAGTTCAGGAAGGTTTCATCGTTATGCAAGTCTAGGGGGGAAAAAACAAACAGCGTAGTTCTGGAAGGTTAGATCGTAACGCAAGTCCAGAGGAAAAATACACAACCTAGACAACGTAGTTCAGGAAGGTTTGATCGTTGCGCAAGTGCAGGAAAACATCCAGACAGCGTAGTTTTATTATTATTATTACTGGATATTTACTAGTATTATTATTGGATATTTATATAGCGCACATATCCAGGCAACTAGTGCATGCTCAAGGCGCTGGTATTTTTCCCTCGATCATTGGATGTAAATCTCAACGGCAGGTTTGATCGTTGCGCAAGTGCAGGAAAACATCCAGACAGCGTAGTTATATTATTATTATTACTGGATATTTATTATTATTGGATATTTACACAGCGCTCATATCCAGGCAACTAGTGCATGCTCAAGGCGCTGGTATTTTTCCCTCGATCATTGGATGTCAATCTCAACGTATTATCAATCTCAACTCAGTGGGGAGTATACAACTCTTGCAGCCACTAGGCGCACCGAGTTATTGTGGCTTTCCTAACGAGGTACAAGAAGGTTTCATAGTTACGCAAGTCCAGGAAAAAGCAAACAGCCCTGACAACCCAGGCAGTATATTTTATGATATAAATGACTTCAGTTTAAGTCCACGAAAACATAACAACTTCTTAGAAACTGTTTGGTGAGTTCAAGTTGCACTGAGATCCAGCCAAGCAGGATGTAGGTTCCGGATGAGGTTCCACAGCATCACGAGGTGGAATACAATAGTCTCACGTGTGGGACGTACACGGCTGAATTCACAGTCAACATGTCTATACATGACATGTTCTTACTGTGTGTCTACCCCGCATTTACGTCCCACGTGAATAACATATATACTGAACATCATTGAAAACGCACCACTTATAAAAGTTCAGATTATTAAAAGCACGTGTAAGAAATCGACATTTTTTGAGTGGAAAAGAACAGATGGACGACTGACAAAAACAACGTTAACAACACAGAAAAGACGCTCATTCATTGAAATGTTCCACAGTCAGAAAGGATCAAACAAACGTGGGGTCAAATCGAAAAGTCAATATCGCGTGTGACCGCCATTTTCATTGACACATGCAGTTCAACGTCTCCTCATTGAGTCAATAAGCGTCCGAATAGAGTTCTTGAAGATGGCATTCCACTTCTGCAGTAGTGCAGCCTCAAGTTCCCGGATGTTTCGCATCTGTTGTCGCCGCGAAAGACTTTGCCTGTCTACTGATGGGGTCCAGGACAATTCCCACCCGGACAATTCCCACCTAGGACAATTCCCACCCCAAAATAAAAAAAATAACATGAAGAGCATAGTTCAGTTTCAACATTTATTCATTTTGACATAAATACCATCTAACAATATTCCATATATAAAAACAAACATGAACTATTACTTTCTTTATGACATGCTTTAGTATGGTTGCACTAATCAGGTTTTATTGATCTAATTTAATACATAACTAATAATAGCATTTTTTAAAATAAGGAAGCACTATTTTGTGACATACATAAGTTTACAGCAACTTTTCAAATTTTACTGATATTGACATGTTTACATGTTTACTGATATTGACAAGCACTATATCAGTGTATATAAGATATGTATATTTAAGACAGTAGCACCCAAGCTCAAATAAATTGGTTTTATAAACGTTTGATCTGCCTAGCACTTGCTCACAATACAAATTCGTCAATGTTATTTTAGTAAATAGGTCTTATGTTTGCACTTAAGTTCAAATTTCATCAAGTTTATAGTTTTTTTTAAAAAGTCATCAAAGTCAAAAAAATTAATGGCAAAATTTTATCAAAGTCAATATTACATAATAGTGAAAAATTCAAAGTCAAATTACATTAATGTTAAAATTTCAATATTTTATCATTTTCAATATTACACCAAAGTCAATGTTTCAATATTTCAAAGCCTGGGTTGGAATTGTCCTCATCATTATAGTGAAAATAACTGGGTGGGAATTGTCCTAGGTGGGAATTGTCCTAGGTGGGAATTGTCCGGGTGGCAATTGTCCGGGTGGGAATTGTCCGGGAGGGAAATGTCCTGCTCCCCTACTGATGTCGTCTATGAAGCCTAACGATGGTGGAGTGGCCAAGTCCAAGTTGTCGAGCAATATCCCTGCTGCTGGTGCCAACCTGAATCATGCCTAGTGCACGTTCTCTTTCGTGAGGTGTTAACCTCGGCATCTCTGTCCTCGTTTCACAATCGTTAGTGGAGCAATGAGAACCGGTTCTCATACACCTACTTTTAATGTCACAGCCAGTATCATTTCAGAATGAAATTCGCGCTTTTTTCATGACGTGGCTGCATGTTGATGCATTTTGGAATTAAGAATCATACTGTGGACAGGAATTTGTTTCTAAAGCATTTTTTCAACTGGACATGCCCTTCGACTTCATGTTAGTTATATTCATTGATCATTGTCATGCAGAAATCCATCTTGATGAAAATATGGACAATTTTAGACTGGTGCGTTTTCAGTGATGTTCAGTATATTATCTTTCATAGACTACGGCACATGACGAAATGCATTATCGTCTATGTATTTTAGCTGTCAGTAAATGAAGAGAAAATACAAATACATTCGTTGTATTGGTGTTTTAAAGGCAAAGGTATTTACTATCTTACATTAGAAAAAGAAAATTACTTAGATATCTATTCAGCAAATTAAGAAATTTTCATATGCGAGGGAAACAGAAGCGTTGCACCGAAAGTTGAGGAATCAGCTCGCATAGCAGAGGTACCACTGTACACCGCCCATCCACACAACAACACAAGACCTGAGTAAATGAACGACGAGTTCATCAGTCAGCCACAGAGTGATTTACGTCATTACTTAACAATAAAATATTTACAACCAATTTTTAAACAATGTTACAATAATTATAGCAATACGCATACACCAAGAATAAATCATACACAAGGCAAACACTATATTATTTACAACAGTTCACATGCGATTCAATACAATCTACCCTGCTCACTCAAACCCGTATGTTACCCGAGTGGGCATTCACACAAGATAAGTTTACAATAGACACAGTAAGTCTTGAGTAAGTGAGTGAGTGAGCATGGTTTTACGCCGCTTTTAGCAATATTCCAGCAACATCGCGGCGGGGGAACATCTGAAATGGGCTTCATACATTGTACCCATGTGGGGAATCGAACCCGGGCCTTCGGCGTGACGAGCGAACACTTTAACCACTAGGCTATCCCACCGCCCCAGTACATCTTGAACAGGTAAGACAACGTTATATAGTTTAACAGAGCTGAAAATATCTAATACCAACAGTCGTACACAAGAATATCTAAAAAATACACTGACGTGTTCGACATGAACCTGACGGTACTGCAAGGGCTCAAATAGAATTAAGTTAAGATACGAAAGCTTAAAGACATGAAAACAGGCAAACGTGTTAATGAAGAATATCCAATATACTAGCATGCACGATGATAGTGATATTAAAAAAGGAGTAATACGTAAAACTGTAAAAGGCATAAACATAACCAAGCTTCTGGTATAGGTCCAATAGTAAATGAGTACATAATAAACTTAGAATTATTAGCACCACTACTGGAGTTAGAGCATCAACTTCAAAACGTTGAAGGTTATGGGGAATTAGACAGGAGATACACATAACTATCAAATGTAATTATATTCTGACATAACATTACAACAAATACGTGTGATAAGACACTTTCACACAAGATTTATCACGTTGTTAAACGGAATCATGACGTAAGTAATACCTGGCTATTGTGGATTAAAACTACATTAAATCACAGCGGACTAACAAACCCCTTTACCTGTACTACCGCTTGACTGGTTGCTAATGTAATCGAACTGCTACAGTTTGTACCAGAATGGAGATGTTACATAGCTTTCAGCAGTAAAAGTTACAATTATCAGTATCTGACAGAAAATGTGAAAATCTGAAAGGTACCTATTAATGCCAAAATATATGTATATCCCAATCTTAAAATTCAGAACAGGTAACCATAATTTGAAGGTGGCAATGAAAGAAGGTCGTGTGAGTCAACTGTGCAACTCTATTTCAGAAGAGGCGAATTTCATCATCTGCTCAGATACCAGGCTCTGTTTAAACAAATACTTGTATACTTGCCAAATGATTACCTGAATAAATTATCTAACACGTGTACATTCAAATGATTGTTGTCCAGTAAATTTAAAAAATCAATCAACATTTATATTTAAAACAAAACGAAAACACCAACCGAAAACATTAAAATATATCCATGCATGAAATTGTCACATTTCGATACATTGTATGATAACTGATTCTTATTCTTTTGTACCACCGCCGTCGGTTAATAAACTCTTTCTGTTGCACAAAATAGTAGCATATGGTTCTCATTTAAAAATGTACAAGATAGTAAAGTTCCATAGTAAATATACGACGAGCTTATTGTTTGTTTGTTTTTCACGTCGCACCCGTAATGTAGACACGCGAACGAATGTAGACATATAAAATCCACGAATTGTTGAGCCCGTATTTCATAAATCACAACTTGAGCTGTATCAATGAAGCAGGACTCGCAGGGTGAGTGAGCGAGTTTATTTTTACGCTGCACTCGGCAATATTCCAGCTCTATGGCGGCGGTGTATAAATAATCAAGTCTGGACCAGACAATACAGTGATCAACATCAAGAGCATCAATCTACGCAATTGGCGTACGATGACATGTGTCAACCAAGGGCTCCTTTCACGAAGCAACCTTTACTAAAGTTAACCTTAACTCCCATTCTTTAACATTGCGCTAAGGTTACCTTAGTGACTTACGATCACCTTAGTGCTTTGTGAAAGAAGGCCCAGGTCAGCGAGCCTGACCACCCGACCCGTTAGTCGCCTCTTACGACAAACATGGGTTGCTGAAGATCAATTCTAACCCGGATCTTCACGGGTCGTCGAGTTTATTAGTCAGCTACAGAGCGATTGGTGACTGACGTCAGTGTTAATATTTACATATTCCATCTACTTCGGTTAGTCCTATTATCTCATTCCAGTAATGTAAATTACGAGGATATTATCTTTGATACATTTTGGAAAGAAGTTGATTCGGATGATGGTGACTGATATAAACCAGTTTGAGTATATTGACGTCGGAGCTTCCAGCAAATACTGCATGGAAGCACGTAATAAGAATATGAGTGCCTACTTAATGTCTGCCTCGGGTGTATCTAACTGATGAGGATGAGGGGCTCCCTCACTACACCTTTACGCGTTAGTGGAAATATACTGCCACGAAGGAACATTTGTTGGTGAATATTCATGCGCATAAATATTCAGGGCACATATAAAATTGTGCAACCATATATATTTTTTCCATTGCCCTCAGTATGACAGTACTGAAGTGTCCATTCAGAGCAACATGTATTGGGAAATAGCGATGTTAACATGTTGCACGCTGTATAAGCAATTAGAGTTCCCTTCAGCGAGTGGATTAGAATGAGGAAGTAACGACACACGCATACACTGACGGTTGCGTCAGATCACGAGTTGCGACATACATGGCTGAGTTTACATTCCCTACTGGGTGGGCAGTGGGCCGTGACTCCGGGTACACTGTCAAGGTAAACAGAAGTACCTGGGGTAGACGCGACCGGGTAGACATTCACTCGGGGAAATGGAGTCTCCATTGGAGACGGGGCAGGAAAATGCCAATCCTATCACTACCGACGCGCTGGTGTCTCCTGGGAAAGGAGAAAAGTACCTGTGGACAAAGGTGGGTGGAGACAGGTAGTGTTGGGCTCACATTAGTGAGATCTCGGATAACGAGAAGGACTCTCGGCGAAGACACTTTAGCTGGTAGTTCGATTGTCGCCATTTTTAAGATATGAGTTACAGCACATGTCTTGGTAAAGGTTAAGGTGAACCTGTATACGTTAAGAGACGACCTGGTAGTAATGGTATTGTGGTCGTGGTATTATTTATTCCAAAGTTCTGTCGGCAAATGAATGGAACATCGTGATGGAGAAATGGCACGTGGTGATGGTGATGTGTAGTGATATATGATGAAACTTCCTATACACACACTAAAGCTGTACATATATGTACGTAATGTATTTTCATATACACACACTATAGCTGTACATATATATACGTAATGTATTTTCATATAAACACACTATAGCTGTACATATATATACGTAATGTACACATATATACGTACATAATGTATTTTCATATAAACACACTATAGCTGTACATATATATACGTAATATATTTTTATATACACATACTATAGCTGTACATATATATACATAATGTAGTTTTATATACACATACTATAGCTGTACATATATATACATAATGTAGTTTTATATAAACATACTATCGCTGTACATATATATACGTAATGTATTTTCACATACACACACTATAGCTGTACATATATATACGTAATGTATTTTCATATACACACACAATAGCTGTACATATATATACGTAATGTATTTTCATATACACACACTATAGATGTACATATATATACATAATGTAGTTTTATATACACACACTATAGCTGTACATATATATACGTAATGTATTTTCACATAAACACACTATAGCTGTACATATATATACGTAATGTATTTTTATATACACATACTATAGCTGTACATATATATACGTAATGTATTTTCATATACACAGACTATAGCTGTACATATATATACGTAATGTAGCTTTATATACACATACTATAGCTGTACATATATATACATAATGTAGTTTTATATACACACATTATAGCTGTACATATATATACATAATGTAGTTTTATATACACATACTATAGCTGTACATATATATACATAATGTAGTTTTATATAAACATACTATCGCTGTACATATATATACGTAATGTATTATCATATACACACACTATACCTGTACATATATATACGTAATGTATTTTCACATACACATACTATAGCTGTACATATATATACGTAATGTATTTTCATATAACCACACTATAGCTGTACATATATATACGTAATGTATGTTCATATACACATACTATAGCTGTACATATATATACGTAATGTATTTTCATATAAACACACTATAGCTGTACATATATATACGTAATGTAGTTTCATATACACACATACTATAGCTGTACATATATATACGTAATGTATTTTCATATACACATACTATAGCTGTACATATATATACATAATGTATTTTCATATAAACACACTATAGCTGTATATACACATATATATATACGTAATGTAGTTTCATATACACATACTATAGCTGTACATATATATACGTAATGTATTTTCATATACACACACTATATATATACGTAATGTGCATACATATATATACGTAATGTATGTTTCATATACACATATATATACGTAATGCTTTTCATATACACACACTATAATGTACATATATTATGTCATATAAACATACTATAGCTGTACATATATATACGTAATGTAGTTACATACACGTATATACACATACATATACACTGTACATATATATACGTAATGTATTTACATATACACATACACTATAGCTGTACATATATATACGTAATGTAGTTTCATATACACATACTATAGTACATATATATACGTAATGTAGTTTCATATACACATACTATAGCTGTACATATATACACATGCACGTAATGTAGTTTACATACACATACTATAGCTGCACATATATATGCACGTAATGCGTAATGTTTCACATATACACACTATATATTTACATATACATACATACGTAATGTAGTTTCATATACACACTATAGCTGTACATATACATACGTAATGTAGTTTCATATACACATACTATAGCTGTACATATATATGCTGTACATGTATATACACACACTAATGTACATTCATAATGTAGTTCTTCACTACACACTGTATAGCTGTATATACATAATAATAGTTTCATATACACATACTATAGCTACACATAATGTACATACATACGTAATGTGGTATTCATATACACATACTATAGCTGTAACATATATATATACGTAATGTAGTTTCATATACACATACTATAGCTGTACATATATATAATGTGGTTTCATATACACATACTATAGCTGTACATATATATACGTAATGTAGTTTCATATACACATACTATAGCTGTACATATATATACGTAATGTAGTTTCATATATACACATACTATAGCTGTGCACACATACATACGTAATGTAGTTTCATATACACACACTATAGCTGTACATATATACGTAATGTAGTTTCATATACACATACTATAGCTGTACATATACATAATACGTAATGTAGTTTCATATACACATACTATAGCTGCACACATATACATACATAATGTTTCATATACACATACTATAGCTGTACATATATTTTCATATACACATACTATAACATATATATACATAATTAGTTTCATATACATACTATAGCATGTATATATACGTAATACATTTCATATACACATAACACACTTATACTGTACATATACATACGTAGTTTCATATACACACACATACTATGTAGTTTCATATACACATACTATAGCTGTACATATATATACGTAATGTAGTTTCATATACACATACTATAGCTGTACATATATATACGTAATGTAGTTTCATATACACATACTATAGCTGTACATATATATACGTAATGTAGTTTCATATACACATACTATAGCTGTACATATATATACGTAATGTAGTTTCATATACACACATACTATAGCTGTACATATATATACGTAATGTAGTTTCATATACACATACTATAGCTGTACATATATATACATAATGTAGTTTCATATACACATACTATAGCTGTATAGCTGTACATATATATACGTAATGTAGTTTCATATACACATACTATAGCATGTACATATATATACTGTACATGTATATATATAATGTTTTCATATATACACATACTATAGCTGTACATATATACGTAATGTAGTTTCATATACACATACTATAGCTGTACATATATATACGTAATGTAGTTTCATATACACATACTATAGCTGTACATATATATACGTAATGTAGTTTCATATACACATACTATAGCTGTACATATATATACGTAATGTAGTTTCATATACACATACTATAGCTGTACATATATATACGTAATGTAGTTTCATATACACATACTATAGCTGTACATATATATACGTAATGTAGTTTCATATACACATACTATAGCTGTACATATACATACGTAATGTAGTTTCATATACACATACTATAGCTGTACATATACATACGTAATGTAGTTTCATATACACATACTATAGCTGTACATATATACGTAATGTAGTTTCACATACACATACTATTGCACACACATATACGTAATGTAGTTTCATATACACATACTATAGCTGTACATATATACGTAATGTAGTTTCATATACACATACTATAGCTGTACATATATACGTAATGTAGTTTCATATACACATACTATAGCTGTACATATACATACGTAATGTAGTTTCATATACACATACTATAGCTGTACATATATACGTAATGTAGTTTCATATACACATACTATAGCTGTACATATACATACGTAATGTAGTTTCATATACACATACTATAGCTGTACATATATATATACGTAATGTAGTTTCATATACACATACTATAGCTGTACATATACATACGTAATGTAGTTTCATACACACATACTATAGCTGTACATATATACGTAATGTAGTTTCATATACACATACTATAGCTGTACACATACATACGTAATAGTTTTCATATACACATACTATACATATACATACGTAATGTAGTTTCCATATACACATACTATAGCTGTACATATACATACGTAATGTAGTTTCATATACACATACTATAGCTGTACATATACATACGTAATGTAGTTTTCATATACACATACTATAGCTGTACATATATATATACGTAATGTAGTTTCATATACACATACACATGGCTATACATATATATACGTAATGTAGTTTCATATACACACACTATAGCTGTACATATATACGTAATGTAGTTTCATATACACATACTATAGCTGTACATATACATACGTAATGTAGTTTCACATACACATACTATAGCTAGCTGTACATATACATACGTAATGTAGTTTCATATACACATACTATAGCTGCACATATATATACGTAATGTAGTTTCATATACACACACATATAGCTGTACATATAGGTTACGTAATGTAGTTTCATATACACATACTAGTTAACACACACATACTATATACATAATGTAATGTGTTTCATATACACATACTATTAGCTGTACATATACATAATGTAATGTAGTTTCATATACACATACTATGGCTGTACAAATACATACATAATGTAGTTTCATATACACATACTATAGCTGTACACATACATACGTAATGTAGTTTCATATACACATACTATAGCTGTACAAATACATACGTAATGTAGTTCACATACATACACACACATGACACACGTAATGTAGTTTCATATACACATACTATGCTAGTACATATATAATGTAGTTTTCATACACACTACACACACACACACACACATATAGCATGTACAGACATATACACATACTACACACACATACGTAATGACACATACACACACATAGCTGTGCACACACATACGTAATGTAGTTTCACACACATACATAAATATTGTACATATATACATATTGTAGTTAGTAATGTACATATATATACATAATGTACATATGCACACATACTATAGCTGTACACACATAACATATATACATATACACATACTATAATGTATATATACATATACACATACTTATACATATACATACCTAGAAAATACACATACGTAATGTAGTTTCATATACACATACTATATATGTGCATATATATACGTAATGTAGTTTCATATACACATACTATATATGTACACATATATACGTAATGTAGTTTCATATATACACATACACTATAGCTGTATATAATACGTAATGTAGTTACACATATACACATACTATTGTTGTACATATACATACGTAATGTAGTTTCATATACACATACTACCAATGTACATATATATACATGTAATGTAGTTTATATACACATACTATATAATATTATATATATATAATGTAATTTCATATACACATATGTAATACATACATACACATATATACACATATACATATATAGTTTCATATGTATATATACATACGTAATGTAGTTTCATATACACATACTATAGCTGTACATATATATACGTAATGTAGTTTCATATACACATACTATAGCTGTACATATATATACGTAATGTAGTTTCATATACACATACTATAGCTGTACATATATATACGTAATGTAGTTTCATATACACATACTATAGCTGTACATATACATACGTAATGTAGTTTCATATACACATACTATAGCTGTACAAATACATACGTAATGTGGTTTCATATACACATACTATAGTTGTACATATATACATACGTAATGTAGTTTCATATATACACATACTATAGTTTATATACTGTACATATATATATACGTAATGTAGTTTCATATACACATACTATAGCTGTACATATATATACGTAATGTAGTTTTATATACACATACTATAGCTGTACATATATATACGTAATGTAGTTTCATATACACATACTATAGCTGTACATATACATACGTAATGTAGTTTCATATACACATACTATAGCTGTACATATACATACGTAATGTAGTTTCATATACACATACTATAGCTGTACAAATACATACGTAATGTAGTTTCATATACACATACTATAGCTGTACATATACATACGTAATGTAGTTTCATATACACATACTATAGCTGTGGTTTTCAAATATATACGTAATGTAGTTTCATATACACATACTATAGTAATGTACATATACATACATAATGTAGTTTCATATACACATACTATAGCTGTACATATACATACGTAATGTAGTTTCATATACACATACTATAGCTGTACATATATATACGTAATGTAGTTTCATATACACATACTATAGCTGTACATATATATACATAATGTAGTTTTATATACACATACTATAGATGTACATATATATACGTAATGTAGTTTCATATACACATACTATTGTGTACATACATATACATACGTAATGTAGTTTCATATACACATACTATAGCTGCATATGTACAAATATATACGTAATGTAGTTTCATATACACATACTATAGCTGTGTACATATACATACGTAATGTAGTTTCATATACACATACTATGGCTGTACATATATATACGTAATGTAGTTTCATATACACATACTATAGCTGTACATATATATACGTAATGTAGTTTCATATACACATACTATAGTTTCATGTACACATATACATACATAATGTAGTTTCATATATACACATACTATAGTTGTACATATATATACATAATGTGGTTTTCATATACACATACTATTGTTGTACATATATACATACATAATGTAGTTTTATATACACATACTATTATAGATGTACATATATACATACGTAATGTAGTTTCATATATACACATACTATAGTTTCATATACACGTACTATAGATGTACATATATATACATAATGTAGTTTCATATACACATACTATAGATGTACATATATATACATAATGTAGTTTTATATACACATACTATAGATGTACATATATATACATAATGTAGTTTTATATACACATACTATAGATGTACATATATATACATAATGTAGTTTTATATACACATACTATAGATGTACAAATACATACGTAATGTAGTTTTATATACACATACTATAGATGTACATATATATACATAATGTAGTTTTATATACACATACTATTGTTGTACAAATACATACGTAATGTAGTTTCATATACACATACTATTGTTGTACAAATACATACGTAATGTAGTTTCATATACACATACTATTGTTGTACAAATACATACGTAATGTAGTTTCATATACACATACTATTGTTGTACAAATACATACGTAATGTAGTTTCATATACACATACTGTAGCTGTACAAATACATACGTAATGTAGTTTCATATACACATATTGTAGCTGTACAAATACATACGTAATGTAGTTTAATATACACATACTGTAGCTGTACATATACATACGTAATGTAGTTTAATATACACATACTGTAGTTGTACAAATACATACGTAATGTAGTTTCATATACACATACTATTGTTGTACAAATACATACGTAATGTAGTTTCATATACACATACTGTAGCTGTACAAATACATACGTAATGTAGTTTAATATACACATACTATAGCTGTACAAATACATACGTAATGTAGTTTCATATACACATACTATTGTTGTACAAATACATACGTAATGTAGTTTCATATATCCATTTAGAATGAAAGAATACCGTAACGTCGTCCTCAACCCATCGTCATGGATACACGTAAAGCGTGGATTTGTTATTTTAAACATATACTATGTGATTGATTCGTGGAATGATGAAGGTGACACTAGGGGTTAAGGCATTACGTTACAATATCCCTGTATCAGGACGGTTTATAGATAAACGTGTCTAGGTCGGATTGCCTGATCTCTGACGGAAATGGAAAAGTCTATGTCTGTCTCCAGAGAGCAACAAGACACAAGCCAGAGTACCTGGACTACACGGGTGGAACTGCCAACGAAACACACCTCGCTTTCACGCGTCCACGGAATCATACCTTTCTTCTGGAACATAAACGTCTTCTAGTTGTTGCAGTAGTTGTTGTCGTCATTGTCATCGTTGTCGGAGCAGTTGTAGGTGGTGTCCTCGTCAGCAACAAAACAGGTACGTGTTTCCCTACATCATTTGCTCATATCAGTAACGGGGGCATCATGAACATCTGTTGAAATGGAAATCACAATCCATGAGAACTGACTTAAGTCATTCATGCTGCTGATCACTGGATTGTCTGGTCCAGACTCGATTATTTACAGACCGCCGCCATATAGCTGGAATATTGCTGAGTGTGACGTTAACTCAACTCACTCACTCACTCACTCACTTAAGTCATGTTACTGTTGGTATGACTGAAGATCCGGGTTAGAATTGATCTTCAGCAACTAGTGCAGGGGCTTGTGTAATTCCGTGGGAATTATATGTTAATTTTTGGAACCAATACTAATTTTAATCACTATTGTGTATGGATTCAGGAAAAACATGGTTCCATTTTTTCTGTTTGCTTTAAGTGTCATTGTGGGGTGATTGAATATGAGTTCCCAAAATTGCTTGCGACATCATTTCGAGAAAAACATGTTTCCATAAACCTATTACAACATAGTCATGTAGCATATCAAGAGGCAACTTATGATGCATGATACAGAGATAACCACATAATATTCTTCTAATTTCAATTTGGTGACATGAAATATGACATAATAATATAAATTAATCAAATATTGTTTTCCCTACATCGGACACCAACATTGTAAGTATTGACCTATATCAGTGGAAACCATTTATTTAATTAATGTATTCTCCCATTCCATAATATATACACACTTATGTAGTAATAATAGCACCCAGGTAAGGTTAATGTGCCTATCAAATAGTTGTGACAAGTGTCAAATCAGGCCTACCAGTACAGTCAGAATTGACACACTGACACTCGTGTCTGGGTAATTAGATGACAAATGGCATAAAGCCAAATCTGCAGTCAATATAAACTGAATGTATAACTGCATTTGAGTGACAAATTACATCACAGCGAAAAGATAACTACATATTACAAGTGGGGTATGCAAGTGCAATATATAATGTGCACTAGTATATGTATTTTAACTTTTACATTATTAAGTAACTTGCATAGTCAATCAATCCGTCATTAACCTGCAAGAACAAAATATGCTTTTGAAATACAAACTTCGACATTATTTGCCATACAAACACAAACATGTATTCTACGCATATTTTTTCTTAATTTGGAAACAAGAAGGGCCCACGTTAGAGAACATGCCTCCGCCATGCACAGTAATCTCCTTTCACTATTACATTATTAAAGTACTACTGTGTACTTGTACGTTAATGTACTTTCACTAAACCGTACGCAGATAGCCCTTGTGTCATACCTAACATAACCACCAACATTCAGTCAAATCCATCCATAACTTTTTGAGATATTATTCATTTTCTCAATTTATTTAACATTGGGATTATTTTCAAAGTACCTCTGTGTACATGTACTTTAACATACGCTCTTCAAAATAAAAGGACGCAAAATATAATTTGAAAATAATGATCGAAAGTTTGTACGCATATATCAAATTAAGCATGCTTGGAGGGTTGAATATTGTTGCTGGTATGGTTTAGAAGAACATGCGTGAGCGAATGCAACCATAAACGGTTTTAAATGGTTTTATCGATCACGATTGTCATGATGAGCTTGACTGTTATGGAACACAACTAAACACAGCCGCCATTATTGCTTTTTACGTGCAAAGCATGAGTACATCCTCTGACTATAAAAGACCCAAATGCATCTCGCAAAACAAGACCCTTGCAAATACTGGATGAGAAAATGGGACGTCTTAACGGTGCCCACGGTAATATTGCCATTGAACGATTACAAGCTGGCGAACCCAAGAGTGTCGTGGCGAGGACCTTCAGTATTCATCCCAGCACAATAACTCGTGTGTCGGATCCCTTTGTACATTTCATTTAGACAAATCACCATCCAAGATCAGGAAGAACGCGAGTCACCACACCAGCCCAATATCGCTACATCCGGGTAACCCACCTAGGTGACTGCCACAGCACAAGAACGGTTTGGAGCCCGGAGAACGTCCGACCAGACAATCAGGAACCGTCTCCGAGAGGTAGGTTACGCGCCAGACGTCCTAAAGTTGCCCTGTGTCTGACACGATTACATCAACGTCCACGAGTCAGGTGGTGTAACGCGGTGCAGCCATAGAACCTTGGAAGCTGGAGGCACACATGGTTCAGTGATAAATCGCGATATCCCCTCAAGCGACGTGACGGAAGACAACGTGTCTACAGACCACGGAATGAACGTTTTGCATCCAACTGCATTAGGCAAGTGGACAGATTTGGTGGAGATGGTGTGATGATGTGGGGACCCATCTCATACACCTGCAGATCGGAATTGTTGCTCGTCCAAGGCAATCTTACGGCCGCTCGATATATCGACCAGATTCTCTGTCATTCACGTGCATCGCCTTGTCGACCGCCAATGGGAGCTGTACCAAACAGGACAACGCCAGACCTCACACAGCACGTGCTACAGTGGACTACCTGGACAATAACAACATCAATGTCCTCCTCTGGCCCTCCAGATCCCCGGATCTGAAACCAATTGATTACCTGTGGGATCAGATAGATAAACGTGTACGTCAACGTCGTAATCCGCCATCGAGGCTATAACAGTAACTGTTGTTCAACATGCTGCAGGAGGAATGGAGAAGGATTCCACAACGAAACATCCAACAACTGATTCAATCTGTGTCAAGGAGGTGTCGTGCAGTTCTAGCAGTTAGAGGTGGCCATACAAGGTAGTAATGTCAACGTCACCTCATGGACAGCAGTAATGACTATGATGACTATCATTCTTGTGAAATGTGCACGAGATACCAATGTATTGCTCTACATAATTCAATTATGTACGGTTTACTTTCGTTGATTTACATGTAATTGAATAAGACCATTATTTTCAATGATATTTTGCTTTTTCGTTTCTTTTTTTGAAGAGTGTACTTTCTTCAACATCTAATTGATTTGTCCTGTTGACATACCCAAGAGATCCAGTAAGTTTCACTGAAATACATCTGGTAGTTTTTGAGAAAAGATGCTAACACATAAATGCACACACACAAACAGGGTTGAATGCATACCCTCTGCAACAAACCTTCGGTTTTGACAGAGGCAATTGTGATCATAGTGATTATTATGCATACATATATTATTAAGATTCATGGTATATAATGGTAATTGTAAAACACGCATCACAAGGTACATTTTTACATACTACATGCCTATGTTGTGATAGGTTTATAAAAATATGTTTTTCTCACATTGGTGTTGCTGCTCGATTATGGGTACCGATGTTAAGTTACCCCAGAATGACACTTATAATCATCAGAAAAAATGGAACCATGTTTTTTTCTGAATCCATATGCAATACTGATTACAGTTATCAGTGGTTCCAAAAATTAACATGCACGTCCTACGGAAAGCATTTTTGCTACATAAGCCCCTGCACTAAACCCATGCTTGTCGTAAGAGGCGACTATCGGGATCAGGTGGTTAGGCTCGCTGACTCGTTGACACATTTCATCGTATCCCAGTTGCGTAGATCGATGCGCATGCTGTTGATCACTCGATTGACTGGTCCAGATTCGATTATTTACAGACGCCGATATATAGCTGGAATACTGCTGAGTGTGGCATTAAACTAACCAACCACTACTGTTGATAAACAGCTTCTGTATAATTTGGAAAGTGAGACGTGCACAATGCACTTTCAGAATAACCAGTGAATTCTTTGTTTGGAATCAACACCAATAGCGTGACGTAATCACAATGGTGCAGATATGGATGAGTGCATAGCTTGCTGTTATTGAGAAATATGACGACCTGCCTTGCATATTACTAAAACAAAATCTTCATCATGTGTCTTGTTGCCAGTAAGTTGAACGTATTTACTATGCAATGTATTGTTTGTCGCATTTTCAGAGCCACAGGTTTCATCGACCAGAACAACAGGAAATCCAGGAACATCAAGTAAATCCAATTTACTAACTGATTTAACATCGAAATCACAACCATCGTCAACATCATCCATTTCAACAGAACCACCAACTTCATCTATATCGCATACAAGAACTTCTCCATCAGCATCATCGTCATCTTTATCTACAACAGTATCCACTACATCCTCCGCCTCTGCAGTTTCGTCTTCACCACAATCAACGACTTCTCCATCGACATCAACAACTTCACTATTAACTTCGCCTGTTTCAACAACAACGTCTACATCAGCAGCATCTCCATCATCAACATCTTCAACATCAACTTCAATAAGCCAGTCATCCACCACAGCAACTTCTTCGACAACGACGATAACTACGTCGACAGTGACGACTACAACTTCGTCCCTTCCATATTTGTCAATGCTAGATGTAACCTTCAATGAGGGAGAGGACGACCTGTACCTCTTGTGTACGATATCTGATGACTCAAAAATTATTAAAGTCCTGTTTTACAAAGATGGTGTTCAACTTAAGGACGACTTCATCATTGGCATCCATGGAAGAGAATGCTCATTGACAAAGAAATGGGCTACTTGCTCTGACTCGGGAGACTATGAGTGTCGAGTCAGTGGCGAGTTTGGAACTATCAAGACTACTTCCACGGTAAACATACTCGGTACGTCTTTTGATAGATTATTCTCTGAAAGACAATTTCAACATTCCGTCAGTATAAATTTGCGTCAGGCAAGCTGCAAATGATAGTACTACATAGAGAAAAATAATCTCATTTAATACCATGTGGGCTCATGTGCGTAAAATCAATGTAATATCATACATTCTACAGCTACATTCCCCAACTAAATTTCATCAGGTTCTTTTGATAACTCGGGTAATGGGGTTCAAGTCTACATGTTACACTCAATGTCTAAATTCAGGCAATTTACAATTTGCCTGAAATTTTCAGTCAATTTGTAAATTGCTTGATTCACTCGGTTAAAAGTGCAATCCCTTAGGTTGTGTGATTGGAACAGATTGGTTTATTCTCTTGACTTGTGGCATGATTTGTTGATGGTGCATGGCAAACCTCGGCATCCCCAAAGCCTGGTTCTGATTGAACTATGACATCAAAGACATGCTGGTTGTATGGATGGGACACAATGACTCCACAGATTGGTCGAGTGGACTGAGATTTGTCCAGTTTCAGAAGAACAGTGGTTTCCATTCAGGCATCAAGCAGACCCCATTCAAGGCGCTGTTTGGTACTGATGCCTTTCAGCCATGTCCAGTTTCAGTCCCAGCCGCAGCCCCAGCCTATATACTTCTTATGTCTCCTACTTGGAGAAAACGTTAAGTTTACCACTTTATTCTTAGACATATTGTTTTCCGTTCTTCGGTTCTTTGATTTTTAGATTCGAAATGGTTCTCTTGCAGTTGAACCCAGTAAGCCAAAGCTAAAAATTAAAAAAATAAAGCTGATCGATGACGCGTGGGAGGCGACATTGTCCTGTGAGAGAAGACTTGGACAACCGGCGACCTCCCTCCACTGGCGAGTGCTGTTCAACACTGGAGACATAAGGGAGAACATTTTCGGTGCTCAGTCCAACACCACGACTCAAGAGGGATGTTCATCGTCTGTGATATCCCAGGTGACACAACGGTTTATGCGTTCTTGGGATGGTGCCGAAATATGTTGTTACTTGACAGATGCTGGAGGGATGACACTCAACCTGGAGGGCTGCGACGTATTCACCTACACAACAGGTAGGTACATGTATGTTTCATGAACAATCATGAAAAACTCCAAAGAAGAAAATGTATAAGAACGAATGGTCCGCACCCCATTTAATGCCCTTATGTAATAAACAATAATTTCAGCGACCGTTTAGTCTAAACAAGGCACTGTATCGATCGTGTATGCAAACATCTAGAGTAACTAATTCAAAGATTTAAAGTGACACAGTATAACCTGATAGAGCAAATGTTCAAGATACATCGTCCTTCCATGACTAATACCAACTTTGTTTCCGTCCAGAATTGGCTGTTTATAGTGTGTGTTCAGTAGGATATGTTGACAAAGATCTGCTGGTCCAACTATTTACAGACGTGTCCCCATGTGACTGTACGGCTGGCCGTGTAGCTGTCCCCAGACCCACCACCTACCCCGACAACTGTAGCCTGTACTACACGTGTAGTGGGGGAGTCAAACAGGACGCCACGTGTACCGGAAGTGACATCTTCAGTGCCGACCCCAGCAAGCAGGCGTGCACCCCCAATCCGGGTGACAGCTACTGTGCCAAGGTCAAAGGTACGCCAAATTTTAACAGATATCTTACAATAATGAGTACATGAATATCACCTCACGGCGATTATAATTATATAATATATGTGTAGTTATATATTTAAAATCGAGTTCCACAAGGATAAAAGGTGTGATAGGTTCCAGTTTGCATGAACTATCTATTCCACTGCAGAAGTAGCAACAGACCCGTGAAGATACGGGTTAGAATTGGTCAAACCATGCTTGTAGTAAGTGGCTACTAACGGGATCGGGTGGTCAGGCTCGTTGATTTGGTTGACACATGTCATCGTATCCCAGTTGGGTATATTGATGCTCATGATGTTGATCATTGGACTGTCTGGTCCAGACACGATTATTTTCAGACCGCCGTCATATAGCTGGAATATTGCTGCGTGTGGCGTTAAACAACAACCAACCAACCAAAAGTATCCTGAGCTAGCACTTACATCACACACACCCATCAGTCTCATCCAACACACATGTTCAGTTAGGTTCCCGTTTAGGAAGGTTATTTTTCAGCTGAACAATTGACTAGCCTTCGCATGTGTTTATGACGGCCGCTAACATTAACAGGATACGCTCAGCTTTCCGTGAACACCATGCATCATAACTATTTGATAATGATACATAAACCCAAGATCACGATATCGTCGAAATCATACATCCGTTTCTGCGTTTGGCAGAGATTTCTTATGGATTACGAAATGGTTGTGTCGCCTAAATTTACAAATCTGTTGATACTGGAGGCCACTGACGAAATTGAATGTTGTTCTGTGCTGGACAATCAGCTAGTGAATCAAGCTGAGTGTCTGTAGGCATATGGAAATACAACGTTACTTCAGCCAGGGATAATCTACAACGTTATATAGTCTCCCTGCTTCAGCTCATGAATGGAATGACGAGTCGCTGTTACGGTCTTTACCGGTACGTGCACAAGAGTTAGACTCTTTGTCCAGAGTTTTCATTTCGTCACCTACATTCCTTTCGCATGATATTTGGACGTCGTAGAAGAATTCTCGATTGCACGCTGAAAAGTCCTAATGGTTTCATGACCAACGAAGCTGCTGTTGAGGGCGATGACATGCCAAAAGAATGCCTTGTAACGATCTGCGATGCTTTCATCAATGAGTCCTGAAGGTTTGGTCGGAGATTCTGCGCAGATGTGGGACTACACAAGTGGCAGAGATGTCACAAACAGTACGCAGATGACGTAAGTGGGCGTGGTCACGCTCTGTCATCAGGTCACATCGCACATGCTACCCCGTGCTTGGTGAAGGTGTCCGAAAAAGGTGCCAACGGCACACCCATGAATGTCTGTGGGGCCCCCAGTTGAGCTAGGTGATCGCAGCATACCTCCAATTATTTCTTTGAAACCTTAACGCGAATTCACCGGTTTCAGATAGAATATTCAGTATAAAATATTTGCATTATTTCTCGTGCATTGTGATTAAAATATTCATGGTACTTGATGTCTTTGAACTTATTTTGTGATACCGCGATGCTCGTGATATGATATTTAATACCTTGTGTTGCTTTACAGCAAATGAAGTGAAAGTATGCACAACGACGAGCAAGTGACAGGGACGATTTACACTTGTGTCAGGCTGTGAACTTGTGTGTGATATATACCACGTACAAGATCGCCAAAATAAAGGGCTTTGTACAAGAACAAGATGTGAGTTGAGGAGAGGAATATATCGGTTTGAGACAAATGAATGTGTGAGCGAATATCCCATTCTAGCTCCAGAATGGACTATCAGTAAAACACGGTATGGTGCAAGGGTGAACATTTTAAGCAAAGAAACGTCATCAGCCCCGAACCGGGATTTCAGGAGGTTCTTCACAATTTACACATCCAGACCAATACTCATTGGAGCGTTTTCTTTACTCTTTCATTTGAAAAGAAGTGTTCCTAATATTGTGGCTAGAGGCGAATTGGGAAGATCCTCACTTGAAGTCAGTCAGAATGTCAAAATTATGAAATATTGGATAAGATCATTCCAGAGTGATAACTATATTCTTGAGCATATCTATTTGTATCAGTATAATCTTGCTGAAAGAGTGAGTGAGTGAGTGAGTTTAGTTTTACGCCGCGCTCAGCAATATTCCAGCTATATGGCGGCGGTCTGTAAATAATCGTTTCTGGACCAGACAATCCAATGCTGAAAGAGGAGTAGATTGTTGGGCATTAAAAGTGAAAAGGTTATTATTATTTAGGTATGTTTTTGGAAATGTATGGGAAAGGTTTATATTAAATTTTAGGAACTTGGTAAATATTATAGTTTGTCATTCTATAGAAGTATTAGAATTGTAGATTATGTTGTTGAAAAATATTTGACAGAGTTAGATATTCAAGTTTATAGGATTTCATTATCACTATTTCGTTGTTCGGTTTCATAATCTTTTGATGTCAGATGGTAGAAAGCTTAACATTCCAAGAAAGGAGAGGTTGTGACCCTTTTGTATTATCCCAGAAGTGGAAACTGAATTTCATTTTTGGTTTATATGTCCATTTTATAACGAACTTAGGCAGAACATTTTACCTAAATACTTTTGGAGTTACCCATCAGATAGAAAGTGTGTTCAATTCTTCAACTAAACCATTAATTATATAAAACATTATTTTCTTAGCCCTAACGAAGAGACAGAATTTCTTAAATTTTGATAATAAATTGATAAAGATGAACTGTTGGACATACTGTCATTAGAGGTATCATCATATGTGTTTCATGTATACTGGCGCTCGCATGTACATGCGAAAATTGTACAAACTGAAAATGTAAACTGGGTCGGTGGTCCATTAGAAGGATAAACTCAATCACTGACAACAATAGCACGACCAGTGTTGTTCCACACTGACATGTGCTATCTTGCACACATCATGTCGGGCTCAACATGTCTCAGCTATTCCATTGTATTTGATAACAATGAACTGTATTTACACACACTTCGACAATTGTGACATTATTTATGCGAAGCCACTTCAGCGTTGACAAAAGTCAACAGTGTTGACTATATTGTTATTCAAGGTGTTGAATTCCATTTGTTGTTATTATCTTATGTTACCATAAACTTAAGAAATATTGTCATTGTGTCTTGTTTTGGTTTTTCTTCGTCTCCTTTGTTGAGATTTTTGGGTATAATATATCCAGTGAAACCTATACGTGTGTTGTGTGCAAGAGCTGACTAAAGAAAGTGGGACATAGGGCTTGGTGACGTACCCGATCACCTTTCACTACACCCTTGTTATGTGCTATAACAATGTGCAAATACTGTACATCCAGGTTAAAGGCATTCAATGTTGGAATGATTGAAGGGAAGCAACTCTAGCTACTTTCTCGGAGAAGTGTTGGGCGCAAATAGACCCTACTGCTGGACCAAGTCGCCCTAAAACTATATCCCCACCACCCCAACGGAGAATTGTACAGGGAAACACCAGATTTACGCTTAGTCCCTGAACATATATAATTTTGATAGGAACAAATAAACCCAATTAAAGTGAAAAGGAGTCCCAGTGAGTTGGCAGATTCAGAGGGAATCTGAACCTGGGGAAATCTAGATTTGCTTCATATAGGGCTTTAGCATTACAGGGAGGACAAGGCAGAAGGGAAAATAATTTGGTTCAGGGGCTGTGAGACAGATTAGGGAAACACCATAGTCCCTGAATTAGAGTTATAATATTTGTAAACATTGGTCTTAAAATGAATGGACGACATCGAAAATGAAGCCAGAAGAATTCACAGTGTCCCAGAGCTGAAGCAATCTAGACTTGAGTTTGACTCCTTATTAATCAATGTTCTCGGGACCGGGAGACAGAATAACACACTATCACAAGAAGCACATAGCATTAACAGATATATGTGTGTAACCAAACCACCTGAAGTTATTATCAGCTGAACACCCTTACATAGAGGATGACAGAAGACTGTGATTGTGTCCATTACCAACAACTGACATCCTGAAAACGATGAAGTAAGCCCATCACATCAACTGTACATCCTTATTTAAAGGGTTAACAAACAGGGCAATAATGTCCATCATACCAACTGGACACCCGGATACAGAGCAGTAAGGCGACAATAGCGTCCATCACCCCAACTGGACACCCGGATACAGAGCAGTAAGGCGACAATAGCGTCCATCACACCAACTGGACACCCGGATACAGAGCAGTAAGGCGACAATAGCGTCCATCACACCAACTGGACACCCGGATACAGAGCAGTAAGGCGACAATAGCGTCCATCACACCAACTGGACACCCGGATACAGAGCAGTAAGGCGACAATAGTGTCCATCACACCAACTGGACACCCGGATACAGAACAGTAAGGCGACAATAGCGTCCATCACACCAACTGGACACCCGGATACAGAGCAGTAAGGCGACAATAGCGTCCATCACACCAACTGGACACCCGGATACAGAGCAGTAAGGCGACAGTAGTGTCCATCACACCAACTGGACACCCGGATACAGAACAGTAAGGCGACAATAGCATCCATCACACCAACTGGACACCCAGATACAGAACAGTAAGGCGACAATAGCGTCCATCACCCCAACTGGACACCCCGATACAGAGCAGTAAGGCGACAATAGCGTCCATCACACCAACTGGACACCCGGATACAGAACAGTAAGGCGACAATAGCGTCCATCACACCAACTGGACACCCGGATACAGAGCAGTAAGGCGGCAATAGTGTCCATCACCCCAACTGGACACCCGGATACAGAGCAGTAAGGCAACAATAGCGTCCATCACACCAACTGGACACCCGGATACAGAGCAGTAAGGCGACAATAGTGTCCATCACACCAACTGGACACCCGGATACAAAACAGTAAGGCGACAATAGCGTCCATCACACCAACTGGACACCCGGATACAGAGCAGTAAGGCGACAATAGCGTCCATAACACCAACTGGACACCCGGATACAGAGCAGTAAGGCGGCAATAGTGTCCATCACCCCAACTGGACACCTAATACAGTGTCCAGTGGCGTGTACCAGTGTATCTTGGTTGGTAACTTATTCTTTAGATTTCTTGAGATAACCGCTCGATGTAAACATTGGGAAATCTGCCATTGTAGGGTGTTCACTGCTGCTGGTTCTTATCACTGGTTGAATAAGGAATACGGATTCAAACGGACCGCTCCATCCCATACTATATGGGAAATGACCGTGTAACGAATTAAGTAAACTTTCGATTTTTTGGGTGACACACTATTTATCTTTGAATGTTTCTCTTCTAGTTCTGCCTTGGTATGATATGCAAAGCATTTCGCCATGATCGTTGTCGCAGAGGAGCATTAGCGATCGATATTCAAAGGAACGTAACTCTTGTTGGCTTAAGGGCCTTGCTTCTTCAAATAATACCACCGTTCGGGTTATATCTTAAGGTCAAATCTATTTTCACTTCATAGATAAAAAGTAGCATATTCTCTGAGCAAATGATCAAAAGAACGCATGAATAGACTCAAGAACTGTGTATTGCAATGGAAACGGAACCTGACCAAAAGTCATTATACCTTTCAACCATTATACCTGAAATGACTGCCCTTGGGGTATCGCAACGGGAATGAAACCACATTGAATGTATTCTTTACCGTTACTGAAGTTGTACTGCCGTTAATGTTTCACAGTTAAAAGTACGGACGAGCTTTATCAGACTATGGTGACACAATAGTGCAGCAGACATGGTTGGACGTACTTATGCATACCCATGAAATAAAAATAATCTCTGTATTAATACCTGTACCAAAACGTAGTCACGGTCATCCATAATCGATTCGGACAGGAGCGATATGATTTAGTACATAGGTTACGAAAGATATAGCTGTGAATAGATTGCACTGAAAGTCACAATGAAGTAGACTCGCAATCATCTTTATTTGCAATAGGTTGTGTTGGCTTGAGTTTTATTGTCAAATTTCGTGTGTGTCTGGTGATATTTTGTCCTTATTGAAGCTGGAAGTTGAATTCAGACGAACGTTGACATATAAAATCCACGAATTGTTGATCCCGTGTTTCATAAATCACAATTAGAGCTGTATCAATGAAGCAGGACTCGCAAGGTGAGTGAAAGAGTTTAGTTTTACGCTGCACTCAGCAATATTCTAGCTATATGGCGGCAGTATCAACAGCATGAATCTACTAAAGTGGGATACAATGACATGTGTCAACCAAGTCTGACCACCCTATCCAGTTAGTCGCCTCTTACCACAAGCATGGGTGAATCAAAGATCAATCCTAAGCGAGATCTTCACAAGTCCTGGTGAGGGCCACTAGGCCAACCATTACACTCTAGATGTATCAGTGAAACCAGAATATCATACAGTTCAGACTTGACACAAAATCCAACAATGTTTTCCAAATCAGAAATTTTTATTTCACAAATATGCACATTTGATTGAGCAGTAGAGAAAGATGCTGAAAGCTGACACAGTGGAAGCAAGAGGCCAGTCAAATAAGGCATTTTGGCAGTGCAAGATACATCAACCTGAACCAGGTGTGTGGACACCCTGCATGTCCCCCCTCCGCCCCGGTGGACCACTGTTACCTCAACCTAACGCCCCTCAATAGCTGGGCACAAGCCAGGCATTATGCTCAATTATGTAGGACACTACAACTGTTTACTGTCCTCATTTTGAGATCAGACATTTAACCACCCTCACTTGACATGTAAGTAGAATTCTAAAACATGATTCTAAATGTTAATTCTTTAAACTCTCCGAAGTATGAATGTTTAAACAAACTATATACACCATCTGTATACTAACTGGTAACCACTGGTGATAGGCTGGCTTGTCCCAGGGATCCACCGGTTGAGGGACATGAGAATACCTACTGGTGCCTGATTTGGAATGTAATGCAATTTATACAAAATACCAAAATGCTTGAAACGATGATATACATGTATAAAAAGATAGCACATTGATATTTTGATGACATCATAAAAATATGCTTAAAACTATCAAAATGTATTGGCAAGTCCAAAATCTCTTCAGAAGTAGAGGTATATGCAAAGTTGATAAAAATAAATAGCAAAATAATCGCATGGATACAAAACTGACCAGAAGTGGGTTACATGGTTGAGTATTAATAACTAAAGCTACAATAATATGAACATAGGAGTACAATACTGTCAACTGTTCTGTGCTCTACAACATGGCAGGAAGACAGCCATCAGGTCTCCACTACAGCTGGTGAGATACAAGGGTAGGCCACATTATGCCACAACCACATTTTAAGGCTGTCAATGTTATATGAAACAGTACAGTTTCATTCTGGACTATAGGTGAGATCTGATGGCATGTCAGTCAATGGCACCTTCTACAAGTAGTTGAGGGCTGAGCTCTCCAACCCGATTGTTTGGCATGATATTTGATGTGGCAGACTACTAGCTATAGCACACTCACTAAACCATGTAGTCACTACTGTAACAGCACTGTACATATGTTATAGCAAAGCACCTTCTGGGCACACATCTCTCACCCCACCATCATGTAACAGTCATGGAACCACGATTGTCTCTCCAACGCCATCTCCGACATTTGGAAAAGGCCACTTGTAATGTGAAAAAAGCAAGATGTGGATGTAAATAGTTACACTAACCTGACATATGTCCCCATGTTACACATCTACTGAGATGTTAAGGATGAAAGATATCCAGATAAAATATGCTTTCTTTGAGCAAATGAGAAGCCAAAGGATAGTAGACTTTATCCAATATAGATTTTAGAACCTTTAACTGCAATAATGAAACAGGGACCTTTAAGTAGAAGGTATTGTCCAGAATTATGACACAATTGACTTTTGGTGTATAAATTCTGGCAACACTGAGCCCAAAAGATAGCAAAATAAAAAAAATATATATCAACATCAGTACAGGTGAAAGGGAAAAAGTGTCATGTTGTAAAGAAACATGAGAATATATATTGTACAAAATACCGCATGAAAATATGTAAAACAGAAAATAAGCTAAGTAGAATAGGGATGCATGAAGAGGTAATGCACCTCTTGTGAAAACACTTGATTGCTAGTTAGGCCTGCTATGAACTACCTAACACCCCCTTG